AGTCCTCAATTATGGTCTAATAAGTGTCTTTTACTAAAACTGAGACTAATGTGTTATGGTATTATGTCATGTTTATCTCTGCTCAGAGTCATAATTTGCTTAATATGATATGATGTTCATTTTTTAAAGATTTTTGGATTTTAAATGGATATTTCTAGAAGTGCTGTGTTTAGTGTCAGTGATGTACATGTATACATTTGATGCCATGATATGATACAGATCTTAATGTGAAATTAAAATCCTGATGAAAAAATGTTTTGAAATATTTGAGCATAAGAAGATCATTTGTGGTAGCATATTACCAGCATGCATATCATGCAAATGTCTATGAGTTTCTAGCTATTGATTTCTGCCAGTATGGTTGTAGGCATACAGGACAGTCACAGCTCTCCACCTCCCTCATGCAAAAAGCAGATGAACACCTGCACTGATATTTATGAGGCACCATTAATCTAAAAACCCATTATCACAGTATATTGTTTCCTGCAGTTAGCTTATAATAAAGCCTATTACCATTTTCCTCGAGGAAAGAAAGCTATTGTCAAGGAAAATCTAAGTGTTTCTCAAAGATTTAATACTTTAATGATGTCTCACCGTCCTAAATATGTTTGAATGCTTTTTAGCTGCAAACAGGTCCAACAATTCTTCTGTGTACTGCCTGGAGTATATTGAATCACTGTAACAAATGTGATATTATATGTTGATTGCTGTGCAGGCTTCTCTTGTCAAAATCAATTGGCACAAACAGTTTTTTATTAGGGGGACGTTCAAAGCCTGCAGTGTTGCCAACTTAATGCATTTGTCGCTAGAGTTAGAGACTTTTTTCCAAAAAAAGCACCTAGCGACAAATCTAGTGACTTTTTGGACAAATCTTAGCTACTTTTTATAAAAGAGAGTCGCCAGTAATGCCCCATGATTCACACCTCTGTTCAGTGAGTGGCATTTAGACATTCATACATGTGATGTTAGATAGCTAAAGTGGCATGTAATAAATATGTTGTGGAAGCAAGAAAAATACCAAATACAAATTTACTTCTAGAAAGTCATTTTATTACTTTACAGAAAATAGAATTTTTCTAAATTGTAGTGATGGCCAGATGACAACTTGTGAAGCTTTGGGGCTTTCTTTCTAAAGATTCAAATTCATGTGGCTTCAAATTTGCAGTCTTGTCTTGCAGAGGCATTGCCATACTTCTGACAAAGGAAGGTAAATAGAGGTTAGGTGTTGTACACAAAGCAGACACTGATTGTAGTGTGTTGGGGGATGACATTAACTCGTTTGACCACAAGGGGGCACTATGAGACCTAGTGTGAAGTCATGTTGACCACATTTCCACCTCTTTGACTGTTGTTGTCAGCTGCATCCTGTGCGTTTTATTTGGGTTCTTAATGTAGAACGTTTCAGTTCAAAATCACACAGATATCAGCCACTGGAGCGTTTTATATGTGGTTCTCTTCACAAAAGGCTTATCAATAGTTCTCAGTACTGTGTTGCATTAATGAGTCATTCAGTCACAACAGCAAGGCAGGCCACTACATACTGAAATTTATTAAAAACAGTCTCGAGGAGCCTTTGGTACCGTTAAAAAAAAAGAAGAAGTAATTTAACTCTTTTACGTGTCTGATGTTACTATTTTGAACTTACAGGACATAAGTGGGGAATGAATTTGGCATAAACAGCATCACTAATCTTTACACTTATTTTTGTTACACTATGCTGGAATACAGTTCAAAGATTTAATGTTCAGATGAGTATAAATTTACATTATGAAATATTCCTTACCATTACCACCTGTAAGAGATAAGTTGGCTGTTCCAGTGATTGTACAGGACAAATTAAGATAACTGCCAACTGAGTATAGCCTACAGGCAAAAAATACCGATTATGCTGTAAACAGCTAATTGACTGAATGATTACAATAAACTCAATCATAAAGAAGTGACACCAGTTATCTCTTTACATTATGTATGGTTATGAAATGTGGTCTATTTACAATGCATCAGTATGGAGTGTCAGAACCATGCTTTCATTCCCTCAGTCTGCAACATGACTGTTTACTGTCACCCTGGCAACGGGTTCCGGTTTAGTAGTTAACGTTAGCGTAGCCTGCAGATTAACAACGAACAATAAATTTGTAATATGTCATTTCTTAACAAAACAAATATTAACACCAAAGCCATACTATTAAACACCTTAACCAGGTCCTGTCACTTCATATCTTACAACCGTTAACGTAGCGCACGTTACTTATCGCCCATGATTTGACGAAATAACAGCTCATAGAAGACTGCGTGCTCTTACTTTGAAAAGCGGAAATGACGACGTTAGCAGGCGATCACATGATTTCCGATACAAGTCAGTTGTCGTTTAGACCATAGACTGTATATAAAAAGGTTCAGACCGGCAGAGGGTTTGTCTCAAAACTATGTAATTGATTCAGAAATGTTTGTTTGAATGTTGTAAATGTTAGCAAGATATTCACTAATGATTTCCATTCATAATTAATTTAAATTATTAATTCATGTTTTTATTCATGGAAATTGATTTGATTTGTTTTATATTTGCAAGATATTTTTCTTAGTTTACAGATGTATTTTTTGTATTTGTGGAAGGTGTTCTATATTTACAGATCACACATTTACTCACTGATTGTTTGGTTTGCCTAAATAGTATTGAGACAAATCTACCTCCATACCCATCCCTCTGTACAAGTTTTCACATCTCATTTCCTCATTTCCTCATCTCTCCTTCATTCTTTTCCTCCCTTTCTCTTTCATTCCTCTTTCTACTCCTTTCTTCACTCTTCAAATCCAGACTTCCTCTTCTGTCTTCTTCTCACTCGCTCTCCACCCCTCTTCTCCTGGTTCTTCATCACATATTTTTCTCCTCTCTTCTCTTAACTTCAGCTTTTCACTCCTTTCTCACTCCCTTCATCTCTTCTCCTTTTCTTGCTTCTTTTCCTGGTCCACAGGTTGTCCCGTCCTTTCCCCTTGCTGTTACTCATTTTTCCTCATGGCTCACCCAGCTCGCCAAAAATGAACCCATCAAGTGTTTTGAGTCAAGCCCAAATGCTCCACAAGTTGTCGGGTGACCTTTATATGGCTATTTCCCCAGTACAGTACTAATAGGGCTCCATTGATTTGCCGGTCTGGTCAGAGAGACTGAGAGGAAATGACACCAAGTTGAAGTTATAAATATAAATATTGTTATTATAAACTTCATATAAGATTCAGGGCTTTTGGGAAAAACATCCGGGGCTGGAGCCCCATAAGACGCACCCCTCGCTCCACCTATGCCACAAAGCCAACCTCATTGAGGAGTCCTCATGTCACTCATATAATCAAGAATTCCTTTGTGGCATCTGTAGAGTGTGTCTGAATTCCTCAGAGAACTTGATGCAGAATGTAGAAAGTCACATTACAAAGAGAAAGACTTGTCCTGCTTGTGGATGAAACTTCAGCATCTTTTTTAAAAATCCATTTGTGAGCGACATGGGAGAAACCATACAGCTGCAAAGCCTGCGGCAGAAAATTTTGTAAGCTCCACACAGGCGAGAAGCCCAACAAATTCCACATATGCTTCATCCAATTGAGCTGCAAGACTATGACAAGATGTACAGCTGCAGGGACTGTGGCAAAGAAATGTGTGTATGCACATGAGAGCTCACATAGGAAGAATGTGCAGCTGTGAGTTTTGCATTAAAGATTTCAAATATGTTAAAATTTTTTACATTCACAAAAAAAGTCCACATGAAGGGTTTGTGTCTGTGATCTATGTGGAGGGGTTGTTTTAGCAAAAAGGTCTCAAACAATATCTTAAAGCCCAATACGGATTTATTCCAAGTGATCTGAGTAATTTGGAAGTTGGGGACAAGCTGAAAGGTATACAGATCTATTCTTTGATCCCACAGAGACAATGCATTTGATTCCTGATAGAAGTTTGCCTGAGTCATCTTACTTTGTCTGAGCCAGTTAGCCTATTTGAGTTTCATGGCATTAAGTGCCATTGTGTAGCCTTGCTGTCAGCAGAAATGATGTGGGCTCAATTCCCAGACCTGGGGTTGTGCTAATGCTTGTTTCCCGTAAAATGTATTTCCACTTTCATATTCATTCACGGCATTAAAATATTGCACACATAAATATTGAAAATAGCCACTCCAAAGAAACCTAATGGTTCTCCATATATGTGGAATGGAAATCACTGTTTAACGTCTCTCATTAAGCAAAGTGTCACACACACACACACATTAAGAGTAATACAGCAGAAACAGACTCTGGAAATATAGACTTGTTTTGCAATTCTAAAAAAAGGCAAAGGCTTGCTTTAATCAGTCAGACAACTGAAGTTAGCTGAAATTGCTTTGAACCACTAAATTACTTCAGTAACCCCATAATCTACAGTACTTGTGTTGTGGTCTCATCCAGATTTTGAATTGGATATTAAGTACAATTGCAGGTACAAAGACAATTTTTTTTAGGTGGGGACACTTTAATGTAGTTATTTCAATATCAATGCAAAATATGTTTTACCCTGCACATGATCTAATTGCTGTAGAAAATCTGCGTATCATAGGTTCTATATGCAAAACCTATAATACACTGCTTTGCTAGAAGTTAGGTCAGGCTATGCACTAAGAAGTTACTCTTAAAGTATTCTCTCCTGCATGAGTACTAATAAATAAACACAACTCTTGAGCAAAATGTGAATACAGCATTTCTAGATTTAGTCTGAGTATTTCATGACACTTTTTTTTTTTTATTGTACTGTAGTAAAGTGTTTCTCATCAGAACAGTGCTCCATGTGTGAGTGGGTTTCTCCTGACAGTGTCCAGGGGGAGGTGGTGCTGTCTGGCAGATGCTGCGGTGCGCTAACGTTATTTCCTGCTGCTCCCTCCCTCCCTCTCCCTCTCCCTCTCCCTCTCCCTCCCTCTAATACAGAGCCTCTCCCTCTGTGTGTGTGCTGGCAGTGGCAGAGGTGAGTCGCCGCCGCTGTTCACTCGGCTCCCTGCTCTGCGCTGGGAAAAAGCGGCCGACGGATTATCCAGCTCGGTAACGTTAGCTCGTCGGCTAACGGTCAAGACAGACACCGAGAAGCGCCATGAAAAGCGGCCGGAGCCAGTGAAAGTTAGTCACGGCTTACTTCGGGACTTTAATGTATGGAAATAAACAAAAAAGGACGTTCGCGGATCATGCCGTCGCCCCCAACGGGGACTTTTCTCTAGTATTTCCACTTGGGAAAGGCTAGCTCAGGGGCTAGCGAGGCTACAAACTATTTTTAATTGGCTTTGGGCTCAATGGCTCTCGCTTGTTTTTCCCTGTCATAGCGACAGCTTGGGAAATTAAAACGGGGAGAGGCCCTGAGAACTTCATGACAAACCAAAGCCCGGCTTTGAAGCGTTACTTCGGAAGACTAGACTGGCAAAGGACCGAAAATGAAGAAGCAGTTCAATCGGATGAAACAGCTCGCCAATCAAACAGTTGGCAGGCAAGTACTGAAGTTGTTTACTGATTTGAAGCTCACCAGCAAACACACTTTCTTTCGGTGACTTCCAGGGCTTGTCTATTTAATTCAACTTTAACCATTCACTGTACTTTTCCTTAACGTGCCCTCTAGCAGTTATGGCATTGAAATGTTGCTCAAAAAGGGAAATTACACAAACTAATACAAACAAACCTGGTCAGTGGAGGCTGTGTTGACAAGGATAGTCTGTTATGAATGACTAATTTGCTTTTAATAGCTGACAACAAGGTTTAAGGACATGGTGCTGTTAATAAAAACTGGATGGGGGAGTGTTAAAGGCTTTCCTTGATGTGTGCAAGCGTCCACACTGCTCTCTAAACCCAACCAGATGTCCCTCTTTAAAGAATGAATCAGCTATCTACGCAGTGTTAGCAATAGCACTATCTGATATAGTGGGAAATAAACACCAGCCACGAGTCCAGTTTCCCTGCAGGGTGAAATAGCATATGTGTGTTGTGAAATTTTGAAAAATATTGGGCATGCTGGACAGGTTTAGTGATGCATTAATAGTCACTTTTGAAGCTGTTGTGGATAACGGACATTTTCCCACCAAAATCAACCCATGCCAGGCTGCATTTTTGAGTTTTTTTTGGGAGTCTTTGTATAAATGGAGATGCAGAAGAGGTTGAATATGTCAGACGTGCCTATTGTTGGTTGAGTTTGTTTCCCATACACATGAAAAAAGTTAAGTAAAAGTAAAAACGGTAGCTGCGCAACTGGTCAGATATGGACAGGTAGAAATGTTACTGGGCTAATAATAGTGAAGGTTACAAAGCCAGTATCCCCATACAGATACCATATTATGACAATATGTTGATTTGTCCCTAGCCAGGGGTCAGGCCTTTGCTGACCCGTCACTGTCTGGTCTTACATTCTCCTGTGCAGCAGAGTTCAGATATCATCTTAAAGGAAAAAGATGAGAACCGAGTGAGATAGGGCTAATATGGTAAGGCAGTGGATGCTTTGTTTTATACTCTGCACTACAGCAAGATTCACTTTCAGTCTGTGCTGATAAAGTGGTAGAAACAGCTTCTCCATTAGTGAAACACTAGACGTTCAGCTTCAACCAGACATCAAACTTGAAGCATAAAGAAAACAGATTAATGTGTTTAAGTGATGGAAGTATCTCCCTGTCTCCACTTAAAGCATTCATTTCCTCTAAACTTGAGGCATGTGCCAGTGTCTAAGCTAATAAGTGAATGGATCCACTTTTAGAAAAAGAGCACAGATCCCAACAATGACAATGTGTTCTGCTGTGTCTAGTGCTGTTATGCTGTTGTGCGATGACAAACAGTGTCCCCGTGTAACTGGATATCTAAAGTAGCACTGGCTGTGGCCCGGCCTTGGGAGGACAAGAGGGTGAGACACGTCACACAGGCTGTGTTCATCATGGGAGGTTGACGCTCATTTTTTCTGGCATTTTGTGTGTGTATTTAGTGGTTGTTAGCGTGTGGGAATCAACAATGTTTGGCACCTCAGGCGGACAGCGAGTGCACCAAGCACTGGACATCACTGACAGCCTGGGAACGATAATGTGTCTTTTTAAAATAGACTGGCAGTTTTTATTTCCTACATTTAAATAAAGAAAAAAAAAATTGAATCCATATATATAAAAGTGTGCAACAACTGAATATTTTCTCAATTAACTGATTAAATATTTTATATCGAAAATGTGAAAAACTAGTAAAAAATGCACTTTACATTTGCCAGAGCCAAAAATAACATGCAGATGTCTTGTTTTCTCCAACCAACGGTTGACAACCCAAAGATATTTCATTATTTCATTATAAAAGACAATGAAAGGCTGCAGATGCTCAAATGTGAGGAACTGGAACCAGCAACTGTGTGAAATTTTGTTACTTGAAATATGATTAATCATTTATGAAATTAGCTGCAGATTGATTTTCTGTCTAATTATTTATGCGCTAAAAAGTTAAAGATTTTAATAGAAGAATAGAAGAGGCTTCTTATGCTTCTTATCAGTCAATGCAAATATGGGCTATCGGACCAGTACTACACACAGTAGTATTTTGATCATTTTAGTAATTCATCACCTTAGGTATTGTATCCTCCGAAAAATACAGCTCTGTTTATCCATTAAATATTATGTTTTCATAACTTTTAATGAACATGAGTCATTATTTTTGTCATATTACAGTCTAAATTATATAATGCCTACTTTAATATGATGATATGATAGATGATCTGAAAATGAAAATAATCACAGGTAAGCAGACAAACCAGAGGGAGTTGTTATTAGACAGTCAGAAGTAGAATCTTTGGCAGAGATGCAGTAAACATTAATTACCATCTCGCCATCCCTGTAATGTTTATCTGATGGAAACTATATCAGCAGACTCTACAAAGAGAATCTGCCCTAATAATGTTCCTACAGCCAGGACTTGAGACCAGAAGCAGCAGGGCAGCTGGAATACTCATAATTTCCTCACTGAACTGTACAGCAGTAAATTAAGACTGGAGAGAATGTAATGCAGAAAACAGACACGTGTGTGTGTGTCTGTGTGTGTGTGCGTGTGTGAGCGTGATTGCAGTAGCTTGCTCATTTGTATGCACGTGTAGGGTGGATCCCCTGTGCTTTCATATACATGCACTTCTGAATGAGGGATCTCGTCAGCGGTTGGAGTAGGGCAAGGAAGCAACCTTTGCTTTTTGCTTTGTCCATTAAGTTTGAACCTGCCTGTGTATCTACGTCTGCAAAAATGTTGGAGTGCAAAAGGCCCTCTCCGCTGCCCCCTGGGTTCCTGTGATTGTGTGAAGGTAGAACACTGTGTCCAGAAAGCAGCCGCTCTGAGGAAATCTCTCCTTCTTCTTCTACAAACAGGAAACTGCCTCCCAGAGACATGCTAGTGCTTTCTAGAGAGGAGTAGGAGAGAAAGAGAAAGAGAGAGAGCTTGGAAAATTGATGTAGGAGCAGAGAGTGAAACTGAGGTGGAGGGGGAAAAAGAGCAAGTTATTCATTCCAGGGAACATGGTGAGGATTCTTGGGATCTCCTTGTAGAAGTTTATTTCTGTGCGCTATCTTTGAGCTCCCTGGCACTTTACATGCACGTTTGCTGCAGGTTAATTTGAAAGATAGTAACACCTTTCAAGGAGATAACCCATGAATACAGTGTTACAGGCTATAACCACTATCTGAGTAAAGATAAGCTAACAGTCCTGCTCCGCAGATCCAGGGGGAGGACTGAATTCGTCACCGTGCAGCTGATTTTTTTAAGAGTTTACATTTTCTCTGTTTTGCTTGCGATAATGACGTCACCTGTAATTGTCAGGAAATCAGACTTAGATAAGTTTGTCAGTCACATGATGTGGTTCAATCAAGGCATGAGCACAGAGGCTGCTAATAAGGGACGGTTCAAAGGTAAAGAGTATTGTACAGTGAAGGAATAGGCCTTAAAAAAGGGTGACCTGAGACATGAAAGTGAACCTGTAAAACGCATATCTCAGTTTATTATTTAGGCACCTGAGCTAGAAATTGTCCTTCTAGCTTGGTTCATTATCTTAGGCTCCTCAAGGGATTTCAGCCACTAGCAGCCAGCAGAAGTCACTTGCATATATGTCACACACCACATTAGTGTAATTGCTGCATCACTTTCAGTTTATCTGGATTGGTGAGGTAGTTGCTTTGCTACACCAGAGTAACTTCAGTCAGTCAATAATGAGTTTATCACAAATGACTGAATCAGGAGTCTTTTTTTAACTACCAGTTCCCTGTTCTGAGACTCTGAGCTTCCTAAAGTCGGGTCAACAAAATCACAGATGGTTAAAATTTCCCCCCCTGCACTGTGACAGAACGTATACAGTTTTTTTATCAGAGCTTTTCTCCTCACTCACAGTAAATCATTCACTGGCATTATAAACCGCTGTATTGTATAATCCTCTTTGATACCATATCTAACAACAACAATAGTCCTACCGGCTCAGTGTTACGCAATCTAATGCAGATCTATTGTATTGTATGAAAGTCCTTTAATACAGAGTCAAGATGAAATGACTTTTTCCCCACAGGGATTAACAAAATGTCATTGCTGAATTAACCAGGACAGGTAACTCCCACATCAGGTATGTGTGCAACTGCTAGTGATAAACTAGACCTACAAGGTCCTGGCTCGGTTTGTTTGTCAAAGTAATGTCTGCTGTCATCCAGATTATTAATTGCAAAGAGAAAAACGTAATTGGCATGACTGTGCATCTTTTAATTATAATCACTTCAAGTAATGCTGACTGTTGGGTGGTTTTGACTTGACTTAGTCTAAAGCCAACGTATCCTCAAGTGACAAACTAATCACAGGTCTGATGTTAACAGCTTAAGATTTTTGACTAATGCTGGGCTTAAAAGGTAGAGTAACAATACCACAGCTGAAATGATTAGTTGTTTAATCAGTAAATTGATCAAGAAAGAATTAATCTGCAACAATTTTGATAATCCATTTATTCATTTGCGTCAGTTTCAAGCAATAATATTGAATATTTGCTGGTAGTTATTAATTGTTACAATAATGCAATATAAATATCTGCCAGGAAGGAAGCATCCTGCCCTGTCATGATATATATAGGTTAGCTTAGCCTTGAGCTATGATCGTTTCAGTTTTCAGCTCCATGTTATTATGCTCACTCTCCAGCTCAGGTCTAATGTGAATGTAACAGCTCACATAATCAGCTACATTAGGCAGGTTGTATGGGCTGAGTCAGTCACTTATTCTCCCTGTTCCTTTCATCTGGGTCCAGTATCCATTACTTTATGCCTTAAGCTGCCAACTGTTGCAGCCGTAAGAGGTGGACCCTCCCTGCTCCTCAGCCCGCTGATTGTGTTGAGTGGCCTGCAACAGCCGCTCTATTGTGCTTATGGCTGCAGTATTTACTTACCACCCTTTTCCATTTTGATAGTAGATCGTCATGGTTACCATTCTGAACCAGTGGCCACGGCTGTGCAGGGAGGATCTCTTGTTGTTAAGAAGTCACATGCAGCACGCAGTGACACACTTTCCTCCAAAGGCTCCTGCTTCAGTGAGGCACGATGGGGTCAGCGCTATTCGCTGTAGGTCAGCTGATGCCGGCAAAACAATTGTTGTTTTGTTTGTTGTTGTTTGTCCTCTGCTCAGCCTGCACACAGCCTATTTTTGCCTCTGTGACACAGTGCTTTTTGGGGTTGGTTCACACAAATGTTGCTATTATACAAGCTAACGACTCCAAGTATCTTCACATGCACTGATCATTCAGTTGCAACCAAGTTAGGGCAACGTTTGCAAATATCATGTAAACCCCACTCTCACCAGGTTCTCTTGCTCACATCAGCTTCAGTAAGCAGAACTCAGTTAATAGAGCTGGATCACTCATCAAGCTTTTGTATTACTCTTGGCATGTATACAGTTTAGTCTGGTTTCCTCTGGTGTTTTGATTAAATTCAGCTCATGAGCTACAGAGGTCATTAAGTGGACCAGATGTAAAGCGGTGTTTGAACAGCATTAGTTGTGGTGGGAAAAACAGTAAATGTTTTTTTGCAGCCACAGCAAAACCACTTTTAAAGTGCAAGTCTCACACTGCAGCGTGCAGAGATTTGGTGGTCCTGCTGTAGAGACTCATCACTTCTGAAAAATATTAAGTTCTACCTCCATTTTCTTGGCACATTCCTATGTGCATGCATAAAGTACGATATTACAGTCCCTCTGGACATTAAGCCAACTAGCAAGCAGAATTTATAGGGGAAATTAAGTGTGCACATAAACATACTGAATAACCTGTTTTTACAGGCGATGTTTGTGATCTATAGGCAGGTATTCATGAAGGGATGAGTCTACTTGATGAACACAGTGGTTTTTCAACAGGACCACATAAAGAGCTCTTCAGCATGTAGGCTACACCAGAACATGGATTCCATACTGTGGCTTCATAATCACATTGTGTGTGCATGCGGCTCACATTTTTCCTGCAGCGAGCTGGAAGTCTTGTCTGTAGGTTTCTGTGAGTCCTCACTCTGCTTGTGTGACCTCACCAGCTTGGCTATGGCGCTCCTCCAGCGAAGAGAAACTCTTTCCATTCATCTCAAGCTTCTAGATTATTCTGGTTTGGCACTTTTAAGAGTCTTTAACCCCCACCCCCAAAATCTCTGCATTTGTATTTCTTTCCTTCTAACCCCCATACGATCATCATCCCATCTCTGTCAGTCTCTCTCTGTTTCTCCCTGCTCCCTGCCTCTGTGTTGTAATTGAAAGCAGCTGTGACAAGGTTACTATAGTTCATAGAAAGCAGTTTTTGGAGGAGGGCCCAGGCTTCATTTAGAGCTCCAGTTACCCTAAATGCAGGCAAGCCACTGTCTACAGGTCCCTTCATTTAGGAGGGTGAGCTTACACTTGACTAGACATAACACAACCAGTGTTACCTGTCATAATCTTGGGTGAAAGTAAAGAAACAGAAAGTGTGGCATTAACATTAACTGATAAATCATTTAGGCTGAAAATGTCTGAAAATGCCTGTTACACATTCCCAAAGTCTAAGGTGATGTCTTTAAATGTATTGTCTTATATTCCACACTCCAAAACCCAAACATATCCCGTTTGCTATTGTAAAAGGTGAAAGAGACGAGAGAAAAAAATTACATCTGGGAAACTAGAACCAGTGAGTTTTTGGCATTTTTATTTAAAAATTTGACTTAAACAATGAATCATTTGTCAAAAGTTTTGGCTTATTTCATTTTCTGTCAGATGTACTAAAAGCATGAAGTCTTCATATGGTAACAGTTACCTGACTGGCTGTTGGTAGAGCAGACACTTAACTGACCATGGTCAAATTTTAACGTTTTCAAAGTTTGTTTAATGATTATAAATTCCCACGCTAGTTCTGGATTAACCAAATTATGTGTCACTGAAACCCCGTAGCTAGAGCATGCGAGCGAACATACTAGCGCCTAATATTCTTCTTTAGCTGCATGGATGCACCGAGATGTCAAGGCCAGTACAGACCTTTTCAGGTGGACAGAGTATTGACCAGACATGACCAATCCACTGTAAATAGTTTCTTCATCAATAACATAATAAAATTCAGTGTTAAAGTGAGTCATTACATCATGGCTGGTTATTGACCCAGTTTTTAGCGCTACAGCAGCCCATGGCCTCATTTTACTTTACATAAAAAAAGATTTTGAGAGCACTGGTATTGGATCAGTTACATGCATTGGCAGTGGCTGTCTGTTGAGGTATCAGTAACATGCCAATAAAAAGATTCTTTGCCTTATTAAAACTCATATAGATCAAAGCATTGATGTGTTTGCTTCATAATGTAACTTCTGCACCTGAAAAAATTAACAATACAGCAGGTGTTAGTGTCCTTCTGTAAGTATACTGTAGTTTTGCTAAATTGAGTCTCTTACAGTTGCATGTCATAGCACCCAACCTGACTCCTGTCATTGACCCTTTGACTGTAGTGTTGCCTTTTCCTCCCTGTAGTCACAGATGCCACCAGCCTGTGTGAAGGTGTTGACAAGCAGTTTGAGCTGCGTCCGTTTTTCCCAGCCTTCTCCTTTTAAGTGAATCTAATCCGTCTGACCTCTTCACGTCCAACTATTAGTTTACTATTAATAGGCTAAGGAGCAAGGCTGTGTGGCTGCCCCCACGCACGACACCGTGAGCACGGCTAGCTTTGGCTTAAGGAAAATCAAAGTGTGTTGAGCAACAGAGAGGCACCTTCTGTTTGATTCTTTCTCACTGAGCTTAACAGAATCTTTTTATTATCAGATATAATTCAAGCTCGTCACAGTTCATGAGTTTTGAAAAAGGATCATGCAGCTGCAGCAGCTGTAGTCTGATGAGTGTCAGGTTTTGCCTTGGCCTCCAGCCTAGATACCAGCCTTGATGAGCAGTGGCAACAAACCCAATACACCCACCCTCTCCTGAAGCATTCTCACGGATGCCGCTGTCAATACCTGACACTATTTTAACGTTGGAAGCACAGCGTAGAAACCAGTCTGTCAGGAGCTGTGTGACAGACATTTCCACAGTGACTACACAGAGCAGCATTGAAGTACAAATTCTTATCTTGAATAATTGTCTGCCTGTGCTAATCTGAATGCTCTCTGTTGTCTCTTCTCATCCACAGAGCGGAGAAAACAGAAGTCCTCAGCGATGACCTCCTGCAGGTAAATCATTAATCTGACTGTCGAGCTCTGACCGGCTCGTAACACTGTTAGCATCTGTTAGGCAGTGGCTGCACTTTTTGTCCCTGTGGAATTAAAAACGGTTCATTTGACAAAAACAGTTTTTGTTTAAAAATAGTCCACCATGGGCAAACTGGGGAAAAAGATAGACATGCATTAAGCACAATATTATTGTTTTGTAGCCACTGAATAGAAGGTCAGCCCTCTGTTTATCTCCCCATGCCTGTGCAGGATCACATGACCCTGCTGATGAACCTGCTCGATTGGCTTTACAGAGAGGATGTTGTCGGACATCCGTATTTTAAAAGTTTGTGTTTGTCACTCTGTTTAGACCCATTGATACTGGTGTAATCATGGTGATATGAATAAGAATATGCTACCAATACCAGCTCTGGTTTCAGTATATTTCGACAAAGTGTAATGCAAAAAGAAAAATGATGTTCAAATAATGTTTAACTTTCTTATATGCACAATCAAACAGTCTTCCTGTTGTGTAGACACTGACTTGTTGGTGCACAACTTCAGCTCACTTTCTCTCACGTTAGCATCATGTGCTATTGAGAGCTCAAGTCTGTTCGTCTTTGTTCCACCTCAACAATTTCAAAGCTCAAATAGAGTAATTTCCCTTATTAGTCCCTCCTCTTGTCTTGTAGGTGTGTTAATCATTGATAAGCCTTGGTGCAGTTTATAATTACAATGACAACCTTGTAGAATGTCACTCTCCATTACACATGGTTGCATTTTTTCCCTTAGTAATGATCTGCAACTTCAGACATATAATTAAACACAAATTTTTCTATTTGGTTACTGATTCATGCACCAGCGATTCAGCCCCAACTTGGCTCTCAAAGGCTTTTTAGTTCCCTGTTGCTTTTCTTCATTCCCAGGGCACTCATCTTCTCTAAGTCTACATTAACTTGTCTTTAATATTAGCATGTGAGAGGCCAGTACTGGACGCAGGAATACCAAAATAATGACCACTTGTAACAGTAGATGCAGAATTTCGTTTCTATTTCATTACTGACTTAGACAGAAAATGGTCTGGTTGTAGCTTAAAGAGTAGTTGGATCATGTGCTGACGAAGCTCAAAAGTATGCAAGTATTCAAGCAAACCAAGCAGCAGCTGATATCACTTATTAGTTCTTGCTCTCTGGTTGAAGATTGCTAATCAGAGCATTCAGCTGGAGTCGTGCTTTGTTGAAATTAAGACCTGTAAACTCACGGGACTGTTGCTGACACAGTTGAGATGCACTGTGTATGAAAACTGCTGGTGCAGGTATTTCCCAGGGGGAAAACTATTTCCACTCCCTGAGGCCCTCTGAGACAGACAGCAGGTGGGGTTGGGACAAAATACAGGCTGCTCAGCAAAGACATTCCAGCGATGAAGATTGTCTTTGTGTGTGAATGGGAGGCATCATAGATGTACAAACAAACTCAGCTGGCTTTGTGTTATGCCTTGAGAACAGCCACAATGTCTGACAGCCTCTATTCTTATTATTCTTCTCCCCACCCTCTTTTGTAACCGGTGCATAAACAAACAGCACTGACGGATCTTTAAATTCCTTCGTTAGGTGGTGTGAAAATAAAATGGGCCGTATATGGACAAGAAACACATTTGAGTGACAGCTAGAACATCAGTGTTGTATTTAAAGCAAGCACGAGTGTAATACAAGTGGACAAGCGGACGGCGGTGACTAACCTCTCGGGGTGCTTTCCACTGAGGAGAGGATGTAGTATTATATCTGACAATTGACTTTCACTGTTCCTCAAAGACACGATTGTTCTGCCCCTGTCTGGAAGTCAGCCGCTGTGACTCTGTGGGCTCTGGTTCTCACTTCACAGGGACGTTTCTGTCTGATAAAGGAAAAGGGAGTGAGGGATGGAGACACGGAAATCACTTGACCCCTTTCATTCCTGAGATGGCTGTTTCACATAAAAACAGAAATTCTCTTTTTATCCCTTAATTACTGAAAAAAATCCATCTTTATTATTTGTGAAATGTTGACTTGAGTTACCTTCAATGAAACTTTTAATTCAAATTTGGTGCATTCACTTTCGCTCAGCCTCCTACTTCTTTTTCTAGCGTCCCACTTCTTCTTCTACAGCATTCAGGGTTTTTTCTGTTGATTCCCCCCATACAATCCACAATCAAACAGACTTGGTTTTAGTGGTATTTTCACAGTTCACTTTTTCTTTTATCACTTCTCACTACAAAGAATTGAAAGTGACCATAAAAAGCGACTATTTGAAGCATCATCTTGAGTTTTAGCTCGTGTCGTAACAGCTGCTGACCTCTGCGGTGAGAGGTGGCCGGGTGCAACGGCAGCTCTGTGACCGATGGGTCTTCAGTCTTGTCCCCCAATACCCTGTCCTGCCCGGGGTGTGCCCGTGAGCCACCCAGCATTCTCGTACCAGCTGTCCAGTCCTTGCTGCTCTTCTGTATAGCAGAGGTTACCACAGAAATACTAAAAATAAAGTGTTGAGGGCATTTTGTACGGTAGCTTTAAACACTTAATTATCACTATTGGAAACAAAGAATATTTTGTTCATCAATGGCTCACTTGAGTAATTCCACCCTTAATGCGTCATACGGTGTTATTTTTGTTCATTCTGGACTTGTCCAGACATGTTAATATTATTTCTCTTAGGAACCAATAAACAAACACTGGCACACAGACGTACACCTTCTCTGTCTTTTTCTCCCCGCCTGTCCCACTTTGTACTGGGATTCCCTGCTTCCTTGATGCGTCATGGGATTGACCAGCTGTTGACCTCATCACACAGCAAGAGGAAAAACACACCCATCTTCCTTTTGGCTCCCAATGGTTCTGCTTAGGTTCTCCCACTCCTCCGCATCTTGTGTTTTTTTTTTTGGTTTTTTTTGAGTGCATGGCATTGTGTCTCACCCCCATTTTGATACAATGAAAGGAAGAAGACTGCAGTACTCCCAGTGCCATGCAACCAAAACACTTCCAATACACCCACACAGGAACTTCGCCCCTAGAGCACAGGGAGGGGGAATCCCCCGCTTGTTTTGTGCCAGGTACTCACTAGACTGAGTCTAAGCAGTGTTTCCAAACCTATAGCCTATGGAAGCTCTGTGTGTGTGTGTGTTCAGTAAGTTTGGATTTGACCCAGCTGTTTTGGGAATGCCGGGGGCCACCACGGGTCAGGAATGACGTAAGACCGCGAGAACAGAGGGAGGGAAAAGGCGAGAGGGGAGGACGGCGTACGGAGGCGGATATCTGCTGTGGAATTCCTGAGTTCCGACTCCGTTCTGTTTTTGGAACACAATCGTCTGGTATTTGGTTGATCCTCCCTCTGCGCTTGTCTCTCTCCATCTCTGCTGGCTTTGGCCTCTGGACCCCAGTGTTCCCACTATTTACAACATTGTTTGTCCCAGCTCTTGAGTTCATGTTTGTCCCTTTTGAGAGTTTTATTTTCTTTTTCTTTTTTTTAAAAAAAAAACAGAAGACACACCTGTTCTGTTACACGCAGCCTGCCGCTTGTGGGAAAGTACAAGCGTTGCCAGTGTAAAGCAGTTCTTTGCATCATCGGACTCTGCTGGCCAGACTTTTAAGTAGACTTGAACAGTAACTTGCAATCATCAGTTCTTTTCATGGGCTGGTGACAGTCAGTCTAATGTTTACACTGACTGTCCCTGTCAGGCACCTGGCACGACAAGGACAGTGAATAGTCATCCTGCAGAGCTTCAGTCGGCCTCTGTCCTTAAGCCAGAATAGCTGTGCTTCCCATCAATGACAGTATTATATCTTGTCACACTAAAAGCACAGAGTGGATCTGTGCAGTCGGGCCTCGTAGACAGGAGAAAGCCTGTGTAATCAAAAAGGTCTTTTTAAAGCCAAAGAACCCCTCGCTCTCGGTCACAGCTCGGTGGCCGTTGCTATAGAGACACTTCCGATGAGTCATGTGTTTCAAAGATAACATTCCAGTGTTGTTCAGCAGGGACAAGCCTTATCAATCATGTTTATACTTTGACCCCTGACTCCCCGGAGGCCGCTGCAAATCAAATCTCAGCGTGGAACTGGACCTCATTAGCCATTAAGTGTGCACTGTGCACACACACTGTCGTTTTGGTTTATGGAGACAAGTTAATAGTGTTGATGAGATTAAAGGAGCAGTGTGTAGGATTTTGGGAGTATCTATTGGTAGAAAAGCAGTATGATATTCTTCTTTTTTATAAATAAGTAACAGTAATAAAGACACTTATACTGGAACAATCATGACAGGATGTAGTCCAATACTTAAGTTTATCAAAATTGATTTTAAATTAATCCAACAATCCAACAATCTTCTCACCTAAACTACAGAAAGTCTTCCACCGTGCTCTTGGATGACTTGATGTATGACACTGTCCACAAAGGACATTTGCTAAAGATCTCCTCTTCCACATTTTCATCTTACACGCAGATCGAACGGCGCATGGAGTTGGTGCGTGTGGTGTCCCACAACACACACAAGAGGATGGTGTCATGTCTGCAGGGACACATCGGTGCAGATGCAGAGAAGAGACATGTAAGACACGAAGCATGTTCCAACGAGACCTCTGTTATAGCTCCAGTTTACCTTTGACACACTAACTTCATCAATGAGTTGTTGCAGGATGTGTACTAGCTTAATTTTTAGCATCACTTCCCACACAAATTTTGAGTTCTCACTGTTTTTAGTTGAACTGACTACAATTATCCACAGTAGGCCAACAGTCCATGATTTCTCTTTTGTGTTTTCTACCCCACACTACCCAAATATGCACTACAGTCCGTACCACGCCTCTATACAGGAAATGGGCAGGTAAAAACACTGATTACTTATTCCATTCTCTGGTCCTCAGCAGCACTTGCTCCATTTCCCACTCAGACATCTGTCATCTTTATTCACTATGCATGACACTTTTGCCTTTGGGATTCTCTGGTAAAGAACAAACAGGATGTTGAAGACTCGTAAATGTTTTTGCACAAATATAAACTGTGTAACTGTAAAAAAAAAAAAAAAAGCTTCAGCATTGTCATTTGATAGATGTCTTACTTCCTTAGTTTGCATCTTAAATCCCGTTTAACATCTGTATTTTCCTCCTGTGCTCGGAAATCTCTCTTCCTCTTCCTGACTCTGTGAATTTACTGTCGAGCTGCTCAGTGGAAAGTCCTTGATGAACTTTCCATTGCTTTGAACGTCTAATAATTAAGCTACTGTATAGATATAGGTACTTCTGTGCATCTACATAGTATGACATAGTTTATGTCTCAGTATGAGTCTAATCGCTGTCTGCATCTGTCACACACGCCACAGAAAAAGCTTCCTCTGACAGCACTATCCCAAGCGATGGTGGAAGGTGGAAACCAACTGGGAGAGGACTCCTTGATAGGGTGAGTACGGTGATTGATTGATTGACACACCACATTGTCACATCCTCCTCCCTGGCAACTGTTGCTATATGGAGCAGATGCTCCCCAGAGAGTGTGAAATATGAGGCTACGTATTCAGGGCAACCAACCTGCCCAGTTTTGTGTTGTGTTGACGGGACTTTCAGCAGTTCCTTTACGTGAGGATGAAATCACTCGTCGTAACTGAGAGACACATTTAAAACAGGACCAGACAGTTTGTAGTTGAGGATCTAGAAAGTGAATGTCTCCAAGTCTCTGCAGCAGCCGTGTGTCTGTCTGGAAATAATGAGGAAGAGAAAGTACATCAGTCAGTCTGCTAGTAATTATGATTTATGTCAACTGTCAGCTACACTGTTTTTGTTTTTTTGTTTTTTGTTTTTTAAGGTTCAGGGAATTCATTGCATGAAACACTGTGGCCCAGAACAATGACTCATTATTGAAGGTCGACAGTCACCAAGCCACCGTTTGTGTGCTCCTGGTTCTGAGCTAGAAATGATGACATTATGTTGACCTGTTTTTGCTTTCAGTTATTGACTGAAACAGAGGATTATGTTCTGTGCTAGTGGCACAGATTGTAATCCGTCTGTGTTGTAACGTGAATAAATTGACCTCACATCCTCACCCGGTAGTGATAATGATGCATGAATATGAATGTGTTCCGATTTGAAAGCTCTTTTCTCTCTCTCTCTCTCTCTCTCTCTCTCTCTCTCTCTCTCTGTGCTGGCGTGTGCATTAACAGGAAGATGATGGAAGTGTGCGGCGAGGCAGAGAATCGTCTGGCATCAGAATTGATGCAACATGAGCTGCAGATAGAGAAGGATGTTCTGGATCCCCTCAGCCAGCTAGCAGAGGTCAGAGACCTCACATCTCCTGGACACAGCAACAGTTGAACACAAGTTTAAATATTTAAAAATAAACCTTTTATATCTCTTTGCTTGTTTAAAATATCAGCCCCAATCCTGTCTTTTTGTTGTACACTGCCCAGTTGCAAATGAAATAGAGCTTTTGAGCCAAAGTCACATGGACTCACATACCACATACCATATTGGCTAGTTTTGGTAATGTGATCCTGTGAGGTAGGAGAAGAAAAAGTCAAAACAAAGCTGATTCCAGCCCTCGCAACATTAGCTAAACATAATGGACTTTGACTGTGGTTTGCCATCTGTCCACTTTGTTATACCAAGTTTCCCCTAACGCGAGTAACTGTTGAGCCACCAGACATCTATATCTTTGTACCCAGAAACCTTGCATTTTAGTTTGGTTCATTACAATTGTCCTTCCTGAAAAGCTTTGCTACTGTTTTGGTTTGGAGGGGGCCAGGAGCCATTTACAGGGTTCTTAGTGTGACAAATTTGTGCCATTTAAGTATAAAATGTGAAATAAGAGTATTACACGCTGTTGCAGGTTTTTCTATTATTTTCCTGTTAAAAAGACTAATCAGCAGTAAGATCTTAGTATAGTCATCCAGGAAGAGCAAAACTAATATTTGCCAGGTCTTTGTCATCGAATGACTTTTTAGGCTTTCATATCTTGGTGTGTTTTGGATCTAATTTTTGTAGGTCGACATCCCCAACATCCTGAAGCAGAGGAAACAGCTGGCCAAACTAGTGCTGGACTACGATTCTGCCAGAGCAAGGTCTGTCTCATCGCTTTATCCATATTGATGCATCCTGCGAGCACAAGAAATGAAACAGAGTCCACATTAGAGCTTCTGAATATCACATTGTGGTTCTGTGTCACAGAAATAGTCTCATCCTGTTTTCCAATTTTCCCTTTGTCTCTCCAACCTCAGATGGTTGCAGGCAACCAAGTCAATAATCTCAGGAACAAATACACAAGCACTGACGGCCAAAGCTGACCTACTCAAGGAGGAGGTGGATGAGGCCATGAACAAAGTGGAGCTTTGCAAGGTAACCAGCATGCATGTAGATGACCTATCGCTTCATTGTAGTCTTGTGTATCAGGTTCATAGCAGCCCAGTGTCTTTGATCCTGAATGAATAGAAAGGCTAAAGGTCATTTATGGTCTTAGTGGACTGAGTAAAAGAAACCGGAAATAGTCCTTGCCATAAAATCATCACCGTATAACGACTGGACAGTCCAAGACCCTCGGGCCCTCTGACCCAGTTTGCTGACGCAAAACAAATGGCTGAAAATGCCCCGTCAGCTCTGTGCGTGTGTGTGCATGTGCGTGTGTGTGTGTGCGTGTGTGTGTTTGTGTGTACTTGCATCAATTGAGTTGAGTCACTGGTGAGTTCTAGTGCGTCGTGGCTGCATGTTGTGTCAGGTTTTCTGTCCAGGAAGCGCAGGGCCTTGTGTTTCCCCTTCACCAGCCCTCCCTCCCAGTCTCTCTGAGTCCTGCCAGGAGCTGGAGGATTTATGACTCGCGTGGTGCTTAGCTGACCACTGACGCCACCTGACTGATGACACTCTGTTGTGGAGATGGAGTTCTTTAATAGATTAATAATGGTTTAGTACAATAAAACTACTCTTCCCCTTTCTTGGTACTCGTTTGTATTCTTGACTGCACCTTTTGACTTGGTTTAGAAAAGTACTATATGAGTAATATTAAGAATATTGTTCTTAATTCTCCTGTTAAACTTCCTGTCTTTCCTCCACAGGATCAACTGGCTGCAGACATGTACAGTTTTTTCTCAAAGGAAGGCGACTATGCCTGCTTCTTTGTAACGGTGAGCACAGCGAGTCAAAAATGTGTTTGCCTGAGTTTCTGTGGGAATGTTCACAGCTGCAGAGTAACAGGGGAACACAGACTTGGCCAGCGATTTTTATTTACTTTTCTATCATGTACTTTTACTGTTTGTCTTCTTCTACTCACCATCTATCCCTCTCTCTTTTGTTTCTGTAGCTCTTAGAAGCTCAAGCTGATTACCACAGAAAGTCTCTCACTCTTCTGGAGAGCGTCTTGCCAACCATCCAGGCTCAGCAAGGTATAATGCACTCAAACATGCCTTTTCACACACACCCAGTTAACACGAAACAGTGCAGCGCTGTTGTAGGAAGTACACACAAGAAGGCTCTGTGCGGCCCCATAATATGGTGCCTTCTTACGTGTTTCCTGGAGAATGCGCATGTTTTTCTTTGGTGTCTGTGTTGTTTGGTGTCACTTTTAAACCTTTTCCCTGATACACATTTAAGAAGGTGTGTTCCTTATTCCCCTTTCTGGCTTAAGAAATCGACCAGCTACTGCACCTTTAGGTGACATCACTTTGGGTTTCTAACTTCTGGTTGCAGTAACTGCTAAAAGCCACAGCCGAGGCCCAGATATTAAAGAATAGTCTTTTGTTTTCACTGTTTTGCTCCCAGAAATAATCTATTTTTCCCTTTTTACCAACATAATGTTTCTTATTAAAGCTGTCTTGTTCAAGGAGCTTGTTTTTTTCTGCGCTAAATACATGTGGTCTAAACCGGACAAGCCTGGTCTCCCAGCATGTGGTGATGACTCACGAACTCCACACACACACACACACACACACATACCCCCCACCTCTTCTCACATCACACCCACCTGGGTTTTTGCAGGCCCCCTCCACCCCCTACCCCCACCACTTCACTCCTCTGCCTCCCTGTTGGCTCGCACATTAGCTCACACATACGCACGTAAATACAGAGAGACAGCCGAACAGTCACTCCTGCTGGCTGGGAGCATGTGGTTATTATTTGACAGCACCCTGTGGGGGGAGTGAGGAAGACTGGTTAGGAACTGGCCCGAGGGAGCGTCACTGACCCAGAAATCTGCCGTCCAGACCAGCAACAGGCTGGTTCGCTCCTGTCTCAGTGCTGAAATGATTTTTATTGCAGAATGACAGACGGGTCATACGAAGCTACTTTTGTCTCCTCAGATGTGAAACAATATGTCTTGCATCACTGCGTCTCACTCTTCACTATCAATCTTCCCTTTCGTGATTAGACTCGTGGACAGAGAAGCCTGCGTTCGGCACGGGGCTGGATGAACATCTGAAAAGGAGCGGAAGGGAGATCGCCCTACCAATAGAAGCCTGTGTTATGATGCTTCTGGAGACTGGCATGAAGGAAGAGGTGAGGAAGTGAAGACAGAGAGGGAGGCTGTGGGGGGGGGGCCCTTTTTTGTAGATTAGTCTCTGGATCGATAGAAAGTGAAGACAGCGAGCTATGAGTGGAATCACACTGGTATGGATCGTCCTCTCCTTCTGTAAGATGTGTGCAAAGAGAGAGACTGTAATAAGAAGTGAAAGGGAAGTGTCTGTCACGTTAGGAGCAGCGTGACCCCGAGGAGGCGCTCGCTATATTTTTGGACTATGAGGCTCAAGGGGTAACTCAACTGACAAATATAATTTAAAAGTGCTTTTGCTGTAGTGTGGTCTCATGTGGATACACCTCACATCTCCACTGCCTTTACAGACTTGCACTCTTAAGATTTTTTTTTTATATTAAAGCTCCTGAAAACCTGGCTTCAGAAAGTTAAGTGATCGTCTGTACTGATGAATATTCATAACTAGATAAGCAGTGATCAAAGTAAAAAAATATACATGTTTAGTTATGACCCCGGGTTCATCGCTGAAGACGTGTCAAAGTGTCACCGGAAAAGAAAGTGGTGAGAGACCAGAACAGAGCTACAAACGAGAAGAGAAACTCACATTCAGTCACAATCCTGCTGTGGCATCCAAGGAGGCAATTGTTTGCTCGCATGACAGCTTTAATTAAACGGAAATAATGTCTCATTGCTCTGTGTCTGTCAGCTTGTTTTCGACTTTATGCTAATTGCCAAAAACTGATGAATGCAACTTTAAGTAGAAGTGACCAGCAGCAGTCAGCTGTGATTCAGAGGTTGCTATATATCTTCCTCCGGGCTGATTTCCCTCTGCAGTGTTTAATAACATCAATATGATTTTGTTTGCTCATCTGGTCGATCGCTCCTTTGTTCTCCTTGTTTCACATGTAAGAATAAAGAGAGCGGTCACAGCTCGTTAAAAGTCACATGAAGCTGTGGCTGTGATTAGTGGCTCCGCTGGTCACCGACATAATTGAAACCAAGCTTTAAGTTGTTTGTTCACATGAACATCTTAAGACTGACGGAGATGACTGGACGGACGGACTGTAAACAGGGGAAACTCCTGTGTCTCCGTAATGTTGTTCCAGAGACACTGTCGGCCGTTATGCTACAGTGATGATTTATGAAATGTTTGAGATGTCCTTTCCCCGAAACAAATATAGAATACAATAGAATCTACTTGTCTCCCGTCCATAAATCAGATCTCTTTGTGCACGTACTATAAAAAAAAAAGAGCTTAAGACAGTGCAAGTGTTAACTGCAAAGGGCTTTATTTGTGGCCCTATTCATTCCCTGTGTGTGTCATTATGGTGTGAAGACGGGCTTTGTTTATGTGTCAAAGTAAAGAGCGTGCTGTGCTGTGAGGGCGTGTTTGTTTGCCTGCGTTAAGGTCTCATTATGTGCAGCTGGCAGGGGGAGTTTATGTAGTGGGGTTATACACAGTCTATCTGTAATTGACTGTTAAGATAGTGTGTGTGCATCAGAGTGTTGTGTGCACATTGAATGCCTGCGTGTATCTTTGTTTGCTGGCAGTGTTACTGTGGTTTATTTGTCTTTTGTGTGTTTGTGTGTCAGGGTCTGTTCAGAATCGCAGCCGGGGCATCCAAGCTCAAGAAGCTAAAGGCGGCACTGGACTGTTCCACTTCACAACTGGAGGAGTTCTACTCCGACCCCCACGCTGTCGCTGGTACGTCCCAAACCAAGGCCACATTTTATTTAATTTTTTTTTAAATATAAAAAGATAGGTGTGTCACTTGAAGTAATTTACGTTTATTGAATAGTTCGTATTTGTGTCTCCTTGCCTTCTCTGTTACAACCTCTTCGTGGTCTTTTCTGTGGCTTTTATAAAGTGGCTGAAGAATATTAAACTATCAGTGGATGTGTGTTTTCAGGAGCACTGAAGTCCTACCTGAGGGAGCTGCCTGAACCTCTAATGACCTACCAGCTTTATGATGAGTGGATCCAGGCGTCCAGGCAAGGCTCATAACATCCTCACTGAAAATGAAATGTACAAATAGGGAAGGATATTTGAGCCATTGAGCCTTTTGTAGACTGGAACTAAGTACGTGCTCGCTTTCAATCATATTTGTTTTTCTATCTTTCTAGTGTGTCAGACCCAGACAAGAGGCTCCAGGCACTCTGGGTTGTTTGTGATCAGCTACCAAAGAACAACAGAACCAACCTGAGGTTAGTTATTTTCACAAGAAAGCTCGTCACACTTTCATGTTTTTCTGTTGCATGTGTTCAACCCACGTTACTCTCGTGTTTTCATGCAGGTATCTGGTGAAGTTTTTAGCCAAACTGGCTCAGGACAGCGAGGTGAACAAAATGACTCCCAGCAACATTGCTATAGTCCTGGGACCCAATCTGCTCTGGGCCAAGACTGAGGGGTGAGAGGGGATTGAGGGAGGGGATCATATTGATGACGAAGAAGAAAGTAGCTACAGTGTTAGTCGTGTTTTTAAAAAAATGAAAGGCATAATTCTAGTCTAGGGTGATGGAGTCTGTTATTTTTAGCTTAGAGTGCCACTCGTTATGGTGAAAGCATCTAATTTCTGCTCATCTGTATGTATACACCCAGGACTCTGGCTGAGATGGCTGCAGCTACCTCTGTGCACGTGGTGGCCATCGTGGAGCCCATCATCCAGCACGCTGACTGGTTCTTTCCTGAGGGTAAGCTCTGGATCCCTGTCCAGCTGTTGCTTTGCAGTCTGACCTTCTCTCCTTTACTTGCAGCCAATCAGAGCCCACCGTTGCGTCAGTGAAGGAAACTTAACTGCCTAGTAAGATATGTACTCTGGAGGTCAGATTGAAGGTTGATGAAAACAGATGTTACATATTCCCTTAATTCAGCTTGTGTTAAGTTAAACGTACAGCAAAGCAAATGAGGTGAATACAAATATAGTTCTGCATTACACATTTTATGACCAGAAGAGGCCTTTTTAGGATATTTTCCACTCTCTTCTTATATATTTATCTTTGGCTGTAAAAGACACCTTCACTTTGTTCCAAAACAATACTGTCTTGGTCGGAGTCAAAGCCAGTTTGCCTTTTAATCTGTGTATTTCAAGATAAATTGACTGAGTTTTCACCTTAACTGACTCGCCTGTGCACGTACAGAGAGGGATGATGGGTCAGAAGTTTGTGCTGTCACCTCTCAACCAGAGGGAGCTTGGATAATTACTGGCTATTTCCGTGGAAGTGCTTTGACACCTGTAATATAGACGTGGTGATAGACTCGAGTCACACATAATCCTGGAGAAGAATACCTAAAATAAGGCAATGGATACTGTTCATGCCAGGTAACAGCAAAGGTCTAGTAAAGCTGAGTATGAGCATCTGCTCAGACTTCACCTTATTTTTTTAAATTCTTTTTAAGTCTCAGGAGTTGCCAGTGCATCCCATGTCTCATGTTGAGGTGTCCTTGAATAAGGCTTTAACAGCCCTGTGGATTAGAGCAGTAACTTAAAATATCATCCTGTTGTCCATTGGCTTCAGTAGCACAAGTTCAAACTAGATATATACTAGTCTGTGTTAGTAAATCCAGCCCTCTCTGTTCCTGCAGAGGTGGAGTTCAACGTGTCCGGCATGTTTTCAATGCCCATACCTGCATCCAACCACAACAACCACCTAGATTATGACTGTGGCACCATTGAGAGGAAGAGGCCTGGCAGTATGGTGGTACCAGAGAACGACACAACACGCAAAGACAAGTAATCACCCCGGAGATGCTTTGTGCCTCCTGTCCCACAGCATTCATGACTTACTCCAGTTAATACTTTGGAAATCATTTTGCCTGTAATCCAGTTGCTTTTTCTTGTCCCTGTCTTTTGCTTCTAGTAAAGTTTGGGCTAAATTGGATCCTTATAATCAATATATAATCTTAACAGTTTTACTGACTTCTCTCAGAGCTCTGGGGTTTTGGTGATTCTCTGTCCTGCTCTGTTTTCTGTTTTTCTCTCTCACTGTGTCCCTGCTCTCCCCGTGTAGCACCCCTAACAAGCACTCGGACCACACCCTTCGTAGAGGCAGTAACACCTTAGGTAGAAAGCAGCACACTTCACCTGCCTTCCAGCCTCCTTTACCCCCTGTGGAGGCTCCAGGGCAGGGGCACGGGGCCGGGCAGGTCCCCCAGCCCGCGGCCGAGCCCCAGCCCCAGCCGCAGGCTCCTCTTGGGGGTTCAGGGTCTGACACAGCCCAGCATAGCTTGGCGCAGGGTTTGGCAGCTCTTGCAGCCGCTCAGCAGCTTCTAGCCCAGCACACAGAAGAGCTCAGGTAAGGGCTGCTTTCCTGCATCTCTGCTGCTGGTGGAGAATGACACAGCATGCCATGCAGACAGACAGACAGACAGACAGACAGACAGACAGACAGACAGACAGACTTTTACACTTTCATGTACTTCTCTGTGAAGTGATGAGGTCAGTCTGTCTGGCCTTTTAAAATGTAATGGATTAATAATGCATGTTTCACCAGTAGCTTGCGGACACCTCTTCATTTCTCGGTCACTTTGGTTCAGCTTGTTGTTTCTCTAGAAAAACCACAAGTTTTCTTACACCACTGCCACTTCCAGCTATGCAGACCAGACTTGTCTGAGGTCAGCCCACTGAAACAGCACAACAATGGCTGCTGTCATTCCGCTAACAGTCACTCTCAGGGCCTCTCGACTTCCCATCCCTCTGCTTTCCTCCCCAAATCACTGGAATCAGCAGGAACTTCACACTAACTGGCTCAAACTGCTTTGAGAAGCCTGGACATTGGTGCCTGTTATGCAACGGCTGAAGGGTGTCTTTGATTTAGTTGGTGAAAGGACAACATTCATTTCCAGACAGATAACACTATTCAGCTCAGCATTCTTTTTCGTCCTTTACAACACTTGACCCTGCAGACGAGTTTGCTTTTAAATAATGCTGAATCTACTCTAATAGCTCTAACCTTCATTAAAAAAAAGAAAACATTCAGCAGTGAATGCTGTTGTATGAGCAGTATCCAGAATTTCAGAATTCTGGGTTAAAATTTGAAGGATTTTTTTTTAAAACCTTTCTTTTTCCGTCTTCTCCAAAGCAACCCAAAGCTTCGTGACTCCACGACCGCCCCGACCCCCCTGCTCCAGAGGAATGGCTCTGGAGGAGGCGGCCAGGCTGCAGGACAGCTGGGCACCGGGACCCCCGGGGCAGGATCCATGGGGCCCAGTCCTCATATGATGCGCAGAGGTAAGAGTCTGCACTCTCATCTGGCACAAATAGACATATTTCTATAATATTATTAACAGATATTTGGCGTTCTCTCAGCTTTTATTGTTGGCCAAATTGTATTCTTTTACCTTTTTCAGTGGAAACAGTTTTTCCACCTTTTTTTTAAAATGATTTTTCAGTTTTTATTTGTATCTCTGGTGTTTGTGTTAATATTCTTGGCATGTAAACTGTGAACATAGATGAAAATATCATGTATAATGTCCTGTCAGGATATATATATTTGATATTCTTTTCCACCAATAATTATAAACTTCCAGGTACCAAGAAACAGGCTCCTGCCCCTCCCAAGCCGACAAACCCTCCTCCCTGCCAGCCCTGCAATTCAGTGAACCACACCTCCTCCTCAGGCTCATCCCAGTCCCTCAGCCCGACTCCCAGACCCCTGTCCAGCCACTCCCCCACCTCGCCCACCTCTCCCACCTCCCAGCCATGTGCCACGCCCAGACGCCACTCCAGCAACCAGCCGCCGATCCAGGCGCCCAGCCATCCGCCCCCAGAGCCCCCGACGCAGGCCAGCCCTCCGACACAGCTCTCATCACTCGGTCAGTCCGGCGGGGACCAGCAGAGCGCGGACCCCTCGCCTCCAAGCACCCCGACCCCTCCGGACACCCCTCCGCCCTCCACTGCCACCCAGGATGTAGCTGCTCCTCCGTCCCCGTCTCCCTATCAGTCGGGCTCTCTTCCGCGGCCGCGACCCGTCCCCAAACCCCGGAACAGACCGAGCGTCCCGCCGCCACCCCAACCCACCACACTGACCAATGATACTAATGGGATCTGTGCCACTGCTTACAAGATGATGGGTGAGTGTTGCCTCTCAAATAATGACAGCATGTAAATACTTTGCTTTAGTTTGTATATGAATGTCACTGCTGAACACTAATGTGCACTCTTGCTAATAGTCTTGCGTTGTAATACCTCCACAGGTTAAAGAGGCACCTGTGAGAGGTTTGTTATTAATTGACCTTTTCACTAGCAGCACTTGCACTTTTTGTGTCGCTCCTCACTGTGGACATTTAGTTCTGCCTGCCGCCTCCGTCAGATCTCATTTACTTCAGCCCTGATGCTCGACTGTCGAACTGTGTATCAAAGTATAGGCATTGAACAAAGGGACGAGAGCACAAAGCCACAGGAGGGAAGGTGAACTGACGGTTGTCCAAGTCAGTGTGCAGCGCTGACAGCTGGTGAGCGAGGAGGAAGAAGAAGAAATCATCAAAACCAATTAGTATCTCTACATGCATTGATCGAGTTTAATGAAATTAGCAACTTCCCGTCATTGTAACGCATCTTTTTTGTTGCTTTTACATCGTCCTCTCAAAGTCACTGGCGAGTTCTTGTTTCCTCCTGTGGCTTCGTATTTCCAGCAGTCGAACCTCATGAGGAGTAAATGCCAGAAATGAGAGCGACATTACATATGGTGCCCTTTTTTTTTAATCATGACGGCCTCGCATCAGGGCTCTCATTTATCATGAGTCACTCATCTTCATCTCCAGTCACTGAAATGCGATATACGAGTATGTAAGGGTTTGAAACTGATCATTCGTACCAAGGCTGGTTTTACAAACTGTGGTCATTTTCAAACCCTCACCCATTGTGTTGTTTTTTTTTTTGTTTTTTTTTAAATGTGAAGTATTGTATATTGTTTCTCATCGTAGGTATTGTTTTGAAACCAGTGTGTAACCCTGACGTGCATGTTTGCATGTTTATAACTGGACTGTTCTTGTCTTGTCACTAATATAACTGCAGATGTCGCACACAGCTCTTCATATCAATCATTGCATTCAGATGTAACCTGGGGATTTCCTGCACTATTTTCTCCACAGCTCTGGTCAAGCAGATTAATTCCAAACTTGCTTCACTACTCCTGCTTCAGATTACACACACTTCACTTTTTCCATCTGCCTGTTGCTCGGCGGCTCACAGTCTCTGAGCAAACACCGCCCCCTGCTGTGGCACTGAGCCGCTGCCGAGCCTCTGCTGCTGTTTAAGCTATGGAAAATATTACACAGGCTCATTGGATGGCATACTTACACCAGCTTTAAATGTTTTCATACTGCAGGATGAAGCTGCACATGGTTGTGATTATGGCCATTGTTCTTCTAATGTGGGCATGGATAGTCTGTTTATGTTTGCAGGATGTTCTGTGTGAATGTCTGCATGCATGGAAACGTGTTACTAACAAACACAAGTGGTGACAGACAGGATCTTTTCTGATTGATTTTGTCGTAGTTATGTATTTTCTGTTTAAAGCTTCTGCTCTTCGCCGTCTCCTCACCGTCACTTCTTTGTCCTCCATCTTGTGTCTCGCCCTCCAGACCCGGCGATGTCTTTCAAAGGGCTGAGTCGTGCTTTGGTCCCTGAGCTCGCTGTAGACCAGCAGCCAGCGACGGCCCCCGCCTTGCCTCTTCCCAAAGACTGTGACCTGGACACCGAGAGCACTGTCCTATAAGGAGGACATGAGGAGCTGAGGACACGCGCGCCGCTCCAGTGCGCCCACGCTCCTCCTCTCATCAGACACACACCTCATTTAGTCTCCTTCTGTTTTAGTCCCAGCTCATATCTGCAGCCCTCGACCTCTGCTGTTATCTTCTCCCAGTCCAGTGTAAATGAAGGACTTTAATGTGACATAATGCAGCTTCTGGCAGCCATGATGGAGGTTACAGAGCTCTGGGTAAATAAAGGCTATGATAGTAGATTGTGTTGAATAGGCGCGGTTAATGTCAAAATAAATAAGGCGGTTTATGAGAAACCAAAGTATCATCTTGTTTCGAGCACATTTGATTGATTAACCGATGTAGCTGCCGCGCCTGAACATCACTTACTTTTAATATTACTGATGCACATTAGTTGGATTAGTTGGAATCCAAAAAAAAAACAGTAAGTTATCTTTATATTACACATGATGTCACTTGTAATATGTCAGAGTTGGAGCTGAAAGTCAATGATTCAGCAACAATTTTCATAATTGAAGAACCAGTTTTAAGCAAAATGCCAAGAATTCACTGGTTCCTGCTTCTCAAATGTGAATATTTGCTTGTTTTGTGATAGTAAGAGGAATATCTTTGGATTTTACTCGGACAAAACAAGCAACCTGAATGTGTAAACTTAGAATAATTTGCATTTTCTTTACTGTTTTGGCATTAAATGATAAATTGAGAAAATAATCTGCCATGAAAATAATTTTTATTTGTTGTAACCTCATAGGGAAAATTACCATATTAAATAATTTAGTTCACTCACAGTCAAACTGAACCGATCTCTTCTCACACGCCCACCATCTCATCTTCAGCCTTAAAGCTGTTATTAGCCATTATTTACTTACAGAGAGTCCTCCTGACCTCCATGATGGTTCCAGATGTGGTTGCGAGGAGACTTGTGACACAAAGACTCTACACTGCAACACACACACACACACACACACACACACACGGCACCACCACCATCTCTATCTTCATACTGCGCTTCCTGCAGAACAAGCTCCAGACAATCAGCAACAAACAGCAGAGCGTGAGGACCGGAGATTCGCCTGTAACACCGTCAGACAACTGTGCTAACGATGATGCATAGCAATATAAAGTGTGGGTACTGACTGTTGTGAGGGGGGAGGGAGGGGGGGGTTCATGGGGAAAGCCAAAAAAAAAAAAATGGACTGATGAGACCTGTGTGGAATTTGGTGTGAGGTGTTTTTGTATTTTTTACTGTTGAAAAATGGCCTTAGAAGAAGAACTGAAAAAAAGATGAGGTATTTCTGCAGCACAGGGGGGAGGAGGGGGCAAAAGGTCAGCCGGTGAAGTAGAAACCAAAACTGTTGCTTAAGGTGTAGCTGGTGACTGCAGGTTTCCAGTCGCCTCAAACACTTGATTCCCCGCCCCCCCTTTTTTTTTTGTATGGAAACCCCATTCTTTCAACCCCACCCTCACTCTTGTATTTATTTACCAAGTTAAAAACACACATTCCCTGTGGCTTGACATAATTAATGCAGTCTTTAAATGTAAATCATGCCTTATCGGTTCCTCCCAGAACCATACAATAAGCATTATATATTTACTGTACGGAGGATATACTTGTCTCCTAGTACTACAGTATTTCCAAGAAGCTGTCTTGGCAACAGTTACGTTTCAGGGATGTAAGGAAGGTGATTTGACCCTCTGCAATAGAAGACGTGTATGGTTCTGTATTATTCCACAAAAGTTGTGTATTTAAATGTGTTGATTTCTTTGGGTTTTTCTAAGCTGAAGTAGCAGGGTGATTTACCCTCCCAGCCTGAACGCAGTCAGTATTTTTGCCTTTCTGTTTTTCTTCATCGCTGTGTTTTCTCTGGTGTGTTTTTGCCGGAGCATTACACACAACAGGCTGTGTGTGAGTGAATGTAGTGAAAGGACAGTTTTTTGTTTGTTTTTTTTTTTTTTACCAGCCTCTTGATCCTGAACAGAAAGACGCATAAACAGCTGATATTGCACTTGAGCGCAGGCCAATGAGTGGTTTCCTAGCTTAGGATTTTTTTTTTTTTTTTTTCAGTCTTTCCCACTGAGCTGAGAGAACACGCCGCTGTGAAACCTCAGTAGTGATGTGGTGTTAGATTTTGCCAGGTCAAAATATTTTTTAAAAATGGCTTTGTTGTATTTTCTATGTACGCTTTGCTTTTTTTGGCCTCAGATATAATGCAGAGTTTGGTTCCTACAGGACTGACTTAATATGGTACCAATGGAGAGAGTGTCAGATGTTGCAGTTGCCCTGAAAACGAGTGGTGTTTTTCAGAGACAATCAAGCATTATTATCCCCTCCTTTCTCTCTTTGCTCCTGTACCTTGCTGCCTTATCCCTGTGCATCAACAGAGCTTGGTATCTCAAGGCTCTTTAAGACAAACAAATGCCATTAAACTAGAAATGATAATGCTGCGTTTTTAAGCTCCTTTTGTATGTATGCTGTCTGGTGAGCTCAAATGTTGAATAAAAACATGTAATATGAATGCTTGGTTGTACCCCCTTTCCAAAGAAAATAAAGTATATGAAGAAACTATTTAAATCTGTCCTTTTCTGTCCATAATTACTATACTTACAATACTATGACTTTGTTATGCCTTTCTATACCATGACGTTTTTATGACATTTTTATGACATTTTTTATGCCTTACTATAGTATGACGTTTTTTTTACATTTTTTATGTCTTACTATACTATGACCTTTTTTGACATATTTTATGCCTTATTATACGATGACATTTTTTATGCCTTACTATACTATGACGTTTTTTGACATTTTTTATGCCTAACTATACTATGACATATTTGACATTTTATATGCCTTACTATACTATGACATATTTGACATTTTTTTCGCCTTACTATAAGTATGACGTTTTTTTACATTTTTTATGTCTTACTATACTATGACATTTTTTGACATTTTTAATGCCTTACTATACTATGACGTTTTTTGACATTTTTTATGCCTAACTATACTATGACATATTTGACATTTTATATGCCTTACTGTACTATGACATTTTTTGACTTTTTTTTTGCCTTACTATCCTATGCCTTTTTTTGACATTTTTTATGCCTAACTATACTATGACATATTTGACATTTTATATGCCTTACTGTACTATGACATTTTTTGACTTTTTTTTTGCCTTACTATCCTATGCCTTTTTTTGACATTTTTTATGCCTAACTATACTATGACATATTTGACATTTTATATGCCTTACTGTACTATGACATTTTTTGACTTTTTTTTTGCCTTACTATCCTATGCCTTTTTTTGACATTTTTTATGCCTAACTATACTATGACATATTTGACATTTTATATGCCTTACTGTACTATGACATTTTTTGACTTTTTTTTTGCCTTACTATCCTATGCCTTTTTTTGACATTTTTTATGCCTAACTATACTATGACATATTTGACATTTTATATGCCTTACTGTACTATGACATTTTTTGACTTTTTTTTTGCCTTACTATCCTATGCCTTTTTTTGACATTTTTTATGCCTAACTATACTATGACATATTTGACATTTTATATGCCTTACTATACTATGACATTTTATGACATTTTTTGACATTTTTTTCACCTAACTATACTATGACATTTTTTGACATTTTTAATGCCTTACTATACTATGACGTTTTCTGACATTTTTTTCGCCTTATTATACTATGACATATTTGACATTTTATATGCCTTACTATACTATGACGTTTTCTGACATTTTTTTCGCCTTATTATACTATGACATATTTGACATTTTATATGCCTTACTATACTATGACGTTTTCTGACATTTTTTTCGCCTTATTATACTATGACATATTTGACATTTTATATGCCTTACTATACTATGACGTTTTCTGACATTTTTTTCGCCTTATTATACTATGACATATTTGACATTTTATATGCCTTACTATACTATGACGTTTTCTGACATTTTTTTCGCCTTATTATACTATGACATATTTGACATTTTATATGCCTTACTATACTATGACGTTTTCTGACATTTTTTTCGCCTTATTATACTATGACATATTTGACATTTTATATGCCTTACTATACTATGACGTTTTCTGACATTTTTTTCGCCTTATTATACTATGACATATTTGACATTTTATATGCCTTACTATACTATGACGTTTTTTAACATTTTTTTCGCCTTACTATACTATGACGTTTTTTGACATTTTTTATACCTTACAATGCTATGACGTTTTTATTCCTAACTACTATACTGTGATGTTTTTATTCCTTACTATGCTATGATGTTTTAATGACATTTTTATGCTCTACTATACAATGCTTTTTTATGCCTTACTATACTATGATGTTTTTTGACATTTTTTATACCTTACAATGCTATGACGTTTTTATTCCTAACTATGCTATGATGTTTTAATGACATTTTTATGCTCTACTATACAATGCTTTTTTATGCCTTACTGGTGATATACTTGTCCACTGCAGTACTCTCACCTAGTTCTTTCTTAAGAATGCAGCAGTGGCCTTGGAAGAATGTTCGGGGTCATTAGGGTCCCAACACCTTCAGCACTCATGCATCCCCATATAAGAACTTTACCACTGCCTTAATTTAGTGTTGGAACCATGCACTTACTGTACTCCTCCCCCTTGCAATGCCATACATTTCGGATGCCATCAGAACCAAAGAGATTGACTTTGGTCTCATTAGACCAGAGTATAGATTCCCAAAAGTCTCCACCTTTGTCAGTATGGAACTTGGCAAAGGGGGACTTTCAGGAGGGTGTACTCATTTTTGCAACATGACCTTTAACCATTCCACCAAATCATATTTTCCTGTTTAGTATTGACACATCATCATTGGTAACTGATGTAGGAGAGTTCCCGGAATATTACATCATATGGAAACCACAAATACGTCTTACTTGTAAAGAGAAAGCACTGAATTTGTTAGGTATAAGAGAGGGTGTACTCATTTATGCTGTATACTGTAAGTTGGATTCACGTTTAGAAGAAAAACCTGCAGTTTCTTAACTTCTAACTTTACTCATAAAATCAATGAATCACAGTTGACCAGAGAATGAAAAGTTTTTCATAATACATTCAAATATGACACAGTTGAAGCAAAATATCTGAAAATAGTTCATTTGAAAAAGGTTTTTGAAGGCTGATACTGTCTTCTTTTGCATTTGAGTTGATGTGTTTTGGCTGTAAACTAAAATTTTACACTTTCACATCTAAAAACTACGAGTTTTAAAAGGTGCCCTGTGAGTTTTACTGTAAACAAACAAAAGTTGGTGAAAAATACAAACAAGAGGCCCACTAATAAAAACATTGCACCACAGCACCAATTTAACAAGCTGATATGTCGGGTTAAATAATGCATGTATCAAAGTTGGAATTACATTTTTTCATCAGGAGGCACAGATAAGTCAGGCAATTTTTACTTTCAAGCATGATATTTTTATAGATCAAAAACATATTCTTTATTTGAAAGCACTGAACCAAACATAAAGGTAAAACAAGCACAAAACATGAGCAATTACCCATGAAAACATATAAAACAGTTATAAAAGGGAACCTTTAGGCAACCGATGAATAAACCTAACCAGACTAACAAAAATGTATTTCATGTTAAACCTAAATATCCAGGGAGGGTAAATGCTACCAGCTGCACATCTTAATACATTAACTGCACCAACATGCAATTGATTGGGACAAGAAACACGGTCAATACACTCGTACCAGCTAGGATTGCATTTTTACGAGATGGCGCTCACCTCGTAAGCCTGACTAAAGCTGTGCATGAAGAAGAAATGAAATGAGACTCTTGAAAAAAGAAAATAAACTAGGACTTTGGACACAAGCATACAATACAAAATTAGAATGATGAGCAGTGCATAGCAAAAACAGTAAATTTACAATCTCAACAATAGTCCATCAACATGAATACAACACAGCTACAGGTACACTGTACTGTAGATGAGTCATGAGATCACCATAACGACCAGAGAAGCAGGAAGTAACCATTTACAGTAGGGTGACTTTTCTTTTTTCCACACGTTTGACGTTCATTCATTCAGCAGCCACCCACTTGATTAAGCAGGGCTGCGTTCAAAACACTCAAGCAGACACGTGGCGAAGTGCAGAACCATCAGCTGTCCTCTCTGCCAGAAGCACACAGCTCAGCCTTCACATTAAAGCTGGCTTTTATCTTCCTGTTACTGACAAACAAAGGACACTAACTGTTGAAAAAGATTCATTATTCCACCCACACGCTCTATGAAACAGACGAGCCAAATTTCATGTGCTGATGGAGTCAGTGTTACCTCACTATAAAAGGTGCAACATGGGTAAAGAAATGAGGGTATTTACTGAATGAATCTGGATGTGATTAAGGAAGAACAGTCATAATACTCATGCTGAATGGTTGATAGTGGAGGACTCCAAATGTTTATGTTTAGAAGTTTCCTAGTTTGTTCGCTGCAAACTGGCCTGATTGGATGGATTTCAGATCAGGACTGAGTCCAACTGGGACACGAAGGGATGTGGTTTAAAAACAGTTCTAGCCACTCATGCAGAAAGGTAACGTCTTTGATCATGTGTAAAGGAGAAGCTAAGTGGCTAACATGGTTCACTGTCATGTAAAAGCACATGGTGCTGAAAATTATAGAAGCTGTGCAAAATAATTAAAATTTTAAAAGCAGCTGAATGTGTGAAATGTAATCACTTCTGAATACTTGTTTAAGTTTAAATATCACTGAATTTTCAATGACTGAAACAGTGAATTTATTTTGCTTGAATTCTCCTCTTGGATATTTCAGATTTTTGCAATTTCTAAAACTTTTTCTTTTCAAGTTTCACAAATTCAGGTAGAAAATTCAGTCGTGCAGGGTTTCCAGTCCCTCGTTTCTATTTGTGGGATCACGTGACTGAGAGTCTGTAAACAGAGATCTTATCAATTTCATTCATGATCAATTGCTAGATCCAAAAATAACCAGTTGAATTTGACCTAATCAAGTTGCACAACTTGAAATTGCCAAATGGAAAATTCAAAGGGGTGAACTGAAAACTTTTAAATTCAGGCAGATGGTAATATTTCAGTTCAATGAAATTCATTTCAGTTTCAACATTAAGAATTCAGTAGTGGTTCATCTTTATGGCCTTGTTTTGCTTCCACTGGAAATGGTCATCTGATCCTTATCAGCATTTTGGAAACGTAAAGTGACCCAGAGCTCAGGGGTGGATGACTTTGACTTTAACTCACTGCATGAGGAGAAGAAAATGTAATTTCTTGCAAAAGATGCCCCTTAAAATCACAGTCAGTTACATGAAAATGGCCACTTCTGTAATCAGCGATGTGGGGATACATGTTGTTGTAAAACTCCAAATATGTACTATTTTTAAACCTTTAAATGAAGTCCTGCTGTCTTGGAGGCAGTGAGTGCACTGCTGTATGAGCTGTCTGATTAAACACTCTGATCCGTGCAGCACGGCTCTGTACACACTACAAACACTACACTTGGGAATCATCTCGATTCCAGATAACTGTCCCGGTCTACATCTACGCTTCATTTTTTTTTTTTTTTTTTACAATTTTCAAATATGAGCTGATAGAAAATATAAACTTTGTATAGTCATATAATAAACAAGTAATCTGTAAATATCCAGACCAGTTGTTTTCATTGCTTACATCTCATTTTAATGCAGCATCAAGATGAAGTGAAGCAACCAAATGTGCATGGATGGTTTCTCTAATGTATCTTTTATCTAACATGTATTGTGTATTAAAGGGAGATGTAAGTAATGTAAAGACTAGTTTGAGTCTTCAGTCTTCAGTGTGTGGTGAGTTCCTGTCAGACAGTGGACACCTGAATGTTCCTGCTCTACCCAGCACCTGAAATAACAGCACTGCTGCACACGGGGCACTCATTATGATTATCTACACATAGTTACAGTATATTTCCATTTTTTTTTTTGTCTCTTTCCATTTGCTATAGATGATGTGGTCTCTGTTCCCATTGGTTTGAGTGTCTCTGTGTGTGATCTTGGCACTTTGGTTGTGGAGAGCAGAGTGAAAATGGAGCCAACTGGCCTTGTTGGTTTGGCCCGACATCTGCCCGCATTCGTTGCTTCTACCAGGCCAGAGGGGAAGACAGTCTGGGGCTTCTGGGGTTTTCTGGAGTCTGGGTCTCACTGAGAGCCCTCTGCAAAACAAAACCCATAATCTCATCTGATTTATAGTTATTTTGCCACATTATTTTCAGATTTAGAGCACATTTGGTTATTCCACAGACTGCAGCGCTTTGCTGAATAACCACTGTCTAGCTGCAGGCTGTCAGTCTGTGTTAGCGCGAACTGAATACCTAAATGTTTTGGGGGTTTGACTCTGACAAACACCTGCTGCATAAATCAAAACATGAGCACAGCTCAGCAACTCACCTCAAACTTGGACATGAACTCTGCAAAGATGCCAAAGAAGGCCTCTGTGCTGGTGGACTTGCTGTCCTCTCCGAAGTACAAGGCCACCTTGGAGAACTCTTCCATCGCCCGGGTCTGCAGAGACTCCAGAGACTGGATCGCAGGGTGGCTGTTCTCCAGGAAGCTCTGTGGGTGCGGAGGGTCAAACGTTAAAGGGCATTCGTCATGAGGGGGCAAAAATCAGCCCGTGCAAACAGTTAAATGATGTCATCTGTGGATCTGGAGAGGTTTTCCAAAGTCTGAGAAAATAATCCGGATGATGTCACCATGATGTCATCAGGGTTGTCTCAGCTGGGGCTTGGAGACGACAACAGAAAGCCTGTGTTATGAACTGGAGGAGCGGAGGTTAGCTAACAGGTTGCTGCCTCCAGCTTCATATCAATCTTGTCATCTAACTCTTGGCAAGAAAGTAAATAAGCATACTTTTCCTTTAATGACACAAAAAGTCAGAAAACAGTAGCTTCCATGAAAAAGAATATGTAACAACAACAACAACAACAACAACTACCCACACATTTCTGTATGTTTGATGTGTATAATATAATAACGTACGCTCATGACAGAAGCAAAGTGGTCCTCAGAGGTGGGTGGGATCTTCAGACAGGCTGACCTGATGTCCTGGATGGTCGTGTGAAGGTCACTCAGCTCTGCTGTGATCGCCCTCTGGTTCACTGGACAAAAGAAGTGCAGAGTTACCAACACACTCAAACATGCTGCCTATAACAGAGAGCAAATCAGACAACCTGCAGACTTACTGAACAGCTTCAAAATGTCAAATAAAAACATGCAAACTATTACCTTGTCATTAACATACCAACTTAACATAAAGCTGCAATTTGAACAAACAAGGCATAAATCTGCATGAATTTAGATGTTTTCAGTGAAGTCTGCCAGCCCTGCAGTGACGTCCGGCACACAGTGTGCTGTATCCGAATTAGCGTTTTACAGGATGGAACAACTACATTCAGCTACTAAATGAAGTACTACTAAAGGAAGGAAAGCAGATTTGAAGAGCTATGCTGCTGTAACGTCATCGTACCCTTGGCTGCCAGAGGCACTGTTGTAAGGTCTCTGGAAAAGTTGAGCAGCTCAGGGAAGTGTTGGCACAGAGACTTGGCCAGAATGTGGAGAAAGGTGGATTTTCCGTCTACTGTTTTGGTCGTGCTCAGCTGCAAGACATAAAGGGAAAGAATGAGACACGACGGTCCAGGGAGTAGAAACTAAAATCAAGATATACACAACGTGGTTAAAGCACAGGTGACCGCGCTGTACCTCAGTTAGGAAGTTGATCTTAAAACTGGTTGTCCTGTTGCCCTTCGGCTGCCCATTGTTCAGGTAATTCCCCATCGCAAGAACAAACTGTGGGCAAGAAAAAAACACTCAATTACAGCCGTCAACATGTCGACCGGCGGCTTTACATCCATGTTCTCTGCTCTGGATGTTCACCTCCAGGATTTTGGCCAGTTTCTTGCTACTCTTCAGCTCCACTGAAGCCTTGTAGATGTAATCGTACGCAACCTTCATCTCCTCCGTCCTCTCCTGCAGGGTCGTCTTGAAGTGGAGGCTCCGCAGACGAGTCTTATACTCAGGCACCATCAGCATCTGAAACACACCAAACCACTCTCATTTATATACACCATTCCTTTGCTTTGTCCTTTGCTTGTTGGATTTTTTTGTGTGTGTGTGTGTGAGTGTGTGTGTGTGTGGTTGTACCTGGAAAATGAACTGGTCGGGCTCGCTTAGTTTGGCCGGGTCCTGGTCAAACCGCTCGTACTGTTTTACCTCCTCGTCGTCCGGGGCGTAGAGCAGCAGCTGCTTGATGTGGGCCGGCTCCAGCCTGTTGGTGGTCATGTTCATCAAGACCTGACGCAGCTCGGCGGGGGAGAGCTTCAGATGGGCGATGAGGATGGCTGCAGAGAGGAGGAGGAGGAGGAGGAGGATGAGGAGGAGGAAGAGGGGAGCGGGCGCGAGGACGTGGAGGATTCACGTTACAAAGAGGATCACTCATTTGCACACAAAACCTTTCATCCCCTTGTGATGATTTGTGATATTCTACTATATTTTAAAAGTTTTTCTCCCTAATTTTCTTCTTTTGATTTTGTTGATCATGTATTTACACAAGTCTCTCCCGCCAGCGCCCGTTCTTCAGATGTGTCTTAACTAATTTAGAGCAACACGCTGTTATCAGGCTGAAATAATCCTGTTAATTCTTTTGTTGTTGGATGGGCTCGAGAATCTCTCCTGAAAATCTGCACAACTGGACGTCTTTTACTCCCGCACCTCTTCATCACAGCTCCTTTTCCTTCTCTCTTTTCTTTCTCTTTTGAAGCACGTTGGACTTAAGCCTGATTACACGATCAAACGTTTTCTACTTCTTCGTATTCTCACACAGTGAATGAGCCGACACAACAGAAGCAGATGTCTCTTCACGAGGAACAAGACTGAAAAGACTGCGAGCAGAGGACTCTCAGGTGAACTCAGTGTCTGTACTTGCAAAGCACGTTTTCAATGTGTAAAAAGAGCCAGAAATCATTATGAGTTATGCATTTGCAGTTGTGATCTTCAGACATCGTTGGCAAAAATGCACCAAATCAATGGAGGTAAAGTGTATTAAATCTCTTTTTTTTTTTATTTCTTTATCGAAACTATTACATTTTATTAAACAACCGTTTAATAAACACCCGTTTAAATTCACCATGAGTGCAGACAGTGTGTGGGAGTTGATTTTTTGTTTTGTACTATTGCTTTTTTCTCTTGTCAGTTTACACGTGTGCAAAGACTCCTTCTCTTTTATTTTCTTTCTGTACGACATGTCCTCAATAAAGCCCGGGGTCAAAGGAGTTAACCCGTGGTTCTTAGTCAAATTGTCCCTCAGTGTTTTACACTTTATATTTAAAGTCAGAATTTTGTGCTTAAAGGTGAGAATTTAGTGATTCTGTTTTGCAAATTAAAACGAAAATTGAGCTAACGCGACAAAATACTCGCAGGCGTGTGTGTGTGTGTGTGTGTGTGTGTGTGTGGTACTCACAGGCGTTGTAGGCTTTCTTATGAGACAGAATCTCCACCACGTCTTTCTTTTTAAAGTTCTCGGGAACGAAGGCTGGCTCTGGAGGAGAGACTGATAATTTTAACAACAGTGTGAGGATGTGTTCTCCAGGCACCGGGGGGTCAACACAAACACACACACACACACACACACACACAGACACACACACAGTGGATGAATGAGGGAGGTTGATGGGTTAATAACACAGCTCTGCTGTTTGGATTGCTGGAGGCCAAAATGCTCCTTGACGGATCTTCAATAGATACAGGTGAGGTGTGTTTCTCCTCAGAGCAGAGCCGTGTTATTACAGAGAAGAAGAAAAGAAGAGGGGGTGGGAGGGGGTGGGGGGTGGTGCCTTATGGAGAATGAACATGATGAGCAGATGAACGGAGCAGCAGAACATCATAACTGTGAAGGTACAAACAAAACAGAAGATGTCAATAGATAAACACACAGATTCACTTTGACTGTACACAAACACTCCGATAATGAATTTGAAGGAGTATTGTAATTTGTACGTCATTAACCATGATGTAAATGAAGATATGAAATGTTATCGATGATGACGCAGTGTGATCAACGTCGAGCAGAAGCACAGAACAACTTACTGGATCTACGCTGGGTCCCGAAGTGCAGATCAAGGTCCAAGTACTTCACCATGTCAGTGAGCTTGTCGTAGTCCGAGTCCTCGCCCAGCTAAACACAGACAAGGACAACACACTCTGTACTCTCTAAAGACACAGTCGCGGTTTTGTTTCTTTAAACCCAGACATCAGACTTAATCCATGTCTGACAGGGTGGTGGAGATGAACAGAAAAAGTCTAAAAAAGAGCAGAGAAACCCAGCATGAATTCTCGTTACAAAAACAAGACTTCTGCTTTGATGCCACCATGACTCATCAGAGACACCACAGAGGAGATGAGTAGGTTTTTCCAAAAACGGGAAGAGAGATGTAGGAGGAGTGAGAAAACTCACAGCCAAAGTGGGAAGATTGTTGTTTACTGCATTTAAGAAATAAAAACAAAGAGCCACAGCCTGAAACAGCGACTTCACCAAAGGGTAATGTGACTGGAATAAGAGCTCACCTGACCCCAGATGGTTCCCTCGGAGTTCTCCACCTGCTCCCAGCGCAGCCTCTTCACACTCATGTGGTTGGTGTCCGAGGCGTGGTGGCCTGGCTTGGGCAGTGGAGGCGGATCACAGGGTGGGGGCAGGGGCGGAGGCGGAGGTGGTGGAGCCTTCGAGATAAAAATTTTTTTTTTAATTATTATATTTAATTTAATTTAATTGAGAGCTCGGACCTAAGACGACCAGCTGCACTGTGACGAACTGAATGCTTTAGATTTACCTTCTTTTTGTAGCACGCCTTTTAAAAACAAGACATATTTTGTTTGCCTTTCTCGTGCTTTTATCGTGTCTTCTTGAGATGTGTGACAGGAACACAGTGAGTGAACCGCCAGCAGATGCAGCATGTTGTCTCTTCTGTCAAATCTCAACAAAGTCTTCTATTTATGTGTGAGCTCTGTATAATTTCAAAGACAGCAACAGATCTTTAGAGCGGTGCTTCAAACTCTTGTCTTTTTCTTTTTTTTTTCCTGTGACATTTTTGTTGCTGGGTGCTCATTGCAGTGGCACTGCTGCACTGCACCACCCTGCACCACCCTGCACCCTGTCATTTTTTATGAATGAATGAATATCTCTCATGTGTCTCTCAAGTGCTAAGATCCTTTATTTTAGTAAATACAAGCAGTACAACATCGTGAAAAGTATTTGTTCAGAATAAATAGCTCATGTGATTGATATATCATTATAGCTTTAGATTGTTAATGATGATGCATCAATTTGTAGATGGATTTTATTGTTGTAGCTGGTTGACGTGGAGCTAATTTTAACTATTTTATGCCGTATACAGTTACAATTTAGTCCAGTGGTTGTGTGAAATATTGGATAAAAGGGAAGAAGGAAAAAAGGGAAGAGGGAGAGAAAGAGAAGCGATAGAGAGGAGGAGAGGAAGGGGGAAGAGGGAGGGAGGAGAAAGGAATAAGAACAACTATATATATATATATATTAAAATGCCCTATTTTAGTCACCTTTTTATTCATTTATTTACTATCTCTTTTCCTAAATTTACCTGTTTAATTAATATTTTTTTTCTTGAACAGTTATTTACAGTCGCTCTTTGATGTAACTGCTAATAAGCCACAGACATCTGAAACATGACAAAGGTCCCAAACTACACACTGCTTTTTCTGTAAGGGATCACAAGCCGAAAAAGCACATAATATGAAAACATATGTTTTGTTTTGTTTTTATGTAAAATCTTAATCTGACATAAATCTAAAAATCTGAAAGTAGGCAGTACAGCTGTCAGACAGATGCAGTGAAGTACTTTCCACCACTATGTGTCAAAAAGCCAAGATATAACAAAGTAGAAACTAAAGTTTAGAGCATGTGATTATATTTTAATACTGGCATGATGCATACTGTTATATCAGTTGGATGCCTGATTAATTAATTGACCAACTGTAAGGACGAGTTACCTGCTGTGACTGGGTCTCCTGTCGTGTGGTCTCATAAGTCTTAGTGTGACTGGGGAGGGTGGAGTGAGACGCTGGAGGCTGGGAGAGCAGGGAGGAGCCTGCGGGGCCTTGGCTCGTAGGCTGGGAGGTGCTGAGCTCCTGGAGGGACGGTGGCAGCGGGCCCTGGTAGCTGTGTTGGTGGTGGAGCTGGTGGTGCCTCTGGAGGACGAGCTGGCTCGGTCTCAGCACCTGAGGGGAGGGCTGCGGGGATGGCTGGCGGATAGGCTGGGGTTGGCTGAGCTGGCGCGGGAGGTAGCTGGGGCGGGACGGCTGGGAGGAGCGCAGCGTGGTGGTGTGGCCATGTGAGAGACGGGTGGAGGTGGCCTGGAAGCGCTGGTGAGTGTTCTCTGCTTCGTCTCTGGTCGGGAGCACTTTGTGTAGAGGAGAGCGGCTGGACAGGAGCGTCCTCGGAGGGGGCGGAGGTGGAGGGATGATGGGGTGGTGTGGCTGGAAGGGCATCCGGCTGCGGGGGATGTGCTCGGGGGAGAAGCGAACGGGCGGGACAGGGTCGATAAACTGGACAGGAGGGGGTATCAGAGACTGGAAGGGCGGCGGAGGTGGAGGGCTCTGGGTGGGAGGAGGTGGGATCGGTTCAGATCCAGAGGAGTAGGAGGGAGAGGAGGCCTCATCGCTGCTACTGTGATCCTCACTGCTGCCGCTGCTCAGCTGCCGGGGCATGAAGCCCAGGTCCTGGTCCTCCAGGAAACTCATCTGTCGGGAGGAGAAGAGCACCATCAGACCTGACAGTCACAACTCTCCATACACACTAATGCACAGCTCAAATAAAAAATGTAAAAATGCATTGTAGCTCTTCTTAGATTTATAGTCCTGCTTATGATTCTGCTGTGATTCAGAGGAAATGGCCATTTTTAGCCTCATTTAGGTTCTGAAGCAGAAACTTACTCTGTTGTTGCTCCTATAACAAATGACAAATAAATGTCAGCTAAATATTTCAATTATAAAACTTAAGTTTTGTTATATTAACTGCTAAATCCTTTAAATTCACATATTCTTTCTTTCTTATTTTCATTTTTTAACCTTCTTATGGGGCAGAAAAGCAACAAAACAGAATGAAACAAAAGACAAAAGGTGCTGATCTACAAGATTTTAAAACACATGCACTTAAATAGAATCAAAAATTACAATGTAATAATGAAAAGTAAAAATAATAAAAACAATAAAAAAGATCAGTTTTCAAATGAATGCAACCCAGTGACTTATGTACAATATGTATTCATCAAAACAAAGACAAAGGTGTAACACAGCTCTAATGTTTGTCTCATGATTTAACATCAGCCAGCACCTTATTAATAACCTTAGATTTCTATTCAGAGATATTCAGATATAATCAGACTCTATAACTGTATAACTGAGTATCGTGTTTTACTTACAGTCACACCTCTTCTTCTGAAACCATGACAATCACCTTCATATATCTGTTCATGTGACACAAGTGTTCATTGTAGCGCACATTAGAGTTGCTCTAATGTAAACATGCAGCTATGCACTACAACGTAATTACTACAATTACTACAACGTAGATGTGAATCTGCTCAGTGTTTGATTCATAAGCAAATGCACAAACAGTAAGATTCTCTCTTATTCATGCTGTATGTAAATATAATAAACTGATAAACACACTTATAATAATATACAACATTTTAGCATCATCATCATCATCATCATCATCATCGCAGTGACTGTGAGACCATGACAGTCTCTACAGGGTTTTACAGGTCATCTCACATCATGTGGGTCAGGCTGCATGGCAGAGCTGAGCCGCTGCTGTACAGCAGCAAACAGGAAAATCATGACGTTATAGAGTTTTAAAGTTTGTGGCAGAAAAAGTACAAATAGTTTTACTGGCATGAAATAGAGACTGTGAGCCAGTGGTTTTATACATAATCTCAAATGTTTACGGTGAGTTTACTGAGGCATCACATTCATCTCATTTAAAAATGACTTATTTGTATATGATGGATTCAGCAGCTTTACATTTAAAATGGAGACACAGATTAGCGTCTAAATTATTCCTTCCCCCATGATTCCTTGCGTGAATTGTTCGTTTCACTGAACCAGCGCCTGGGAGAGTTAGTAGCATGCTACTGCTAACGGCTAGGGAAACTGGGATCACAGGTGGCCTCAGGTAATGCTCAGTAGCATATTTAGCTACTTTATAGATTCTGTTGCTAACATCAGTGAGCTGATAAGCTACAATCAGTTCTTCAGGATTTGTCTTCTCTTATTTACACTCATGTCCCTGAAATCTGTAACACTTCTTTATATAGAAGCTGCACCATGTTCTCTGTCGTCCTGCTCCATCCTGCAACTCCTCAACCCGACCAGTCGAGGCAGAAAGCCGCCCTGAGATAACTTCTGCTAAGATTTGGCGCTATATTAATAAAAATCAAATTGAATTTAGCTAACACGAAGCTACCTTAAGTTTGTTACAGGTATCCAAAGCCACTTCTTCATGGCGTCCTAACATCCCTCAGGAGTAGAAGCCAGAGATGTGATAACGTTGTTCTGTGTGAAATGTGTCAGACTGTGTTCCCACTTCATTATGTTCCTAAAAAAAGCTCCAAGAGAAGGGAAGAACCCCGTAGCACACCGCTAACTCTCAGAGTCGCCAGTTCAATTAAAGGAATAACCAAAAATTGAGCAGCTAAGTTTAACATATGAACATATTAAAAACACTAACAACTAAAAGCTTAAAATGGCATAAAAACAGGCATGTGCTGTGTATGCATAAATACAGATGGTGATGTGGTTGAATGGAGGCAGGTCTCGCTCACCTCCTCATAGTCGTTCTCCCCGGGCACGAAGTCGTCCACCAGAGTGACCCGGTGGCCGAGCTGCTCGCTCAGGGCGTCCAGGAACTTGTCGGTGTCCCGGCTGCGGGGCGGGCGGGAAAAGGTGAACAGCTTCTTGCGGCGGGTGAGCGTGTTGGGGTCGCTGTCCAAGTGCTGCGGGGAGGCGGGGGGGCTCTCCAGGCTGACGTAGGGGTTGGAGTCCACGCTGCTCTGGTGGTGGATCTCATACACAGGGGTGGGGAGAGGCTCCTTCCAGGACAGGGACAGGCCGGATTTACGGTTACCTGTAAAGAAGGAAATCAAGATGGCTGCTGCTGCTGCTGCTGGCGTCGGCAACGTTTTGACACTCACACCGCACGTGCTCACGCCGTCTGGTGCTGAGGCTCTTTTTTTATACTTTACATGACTTGGCTTGTACAATATATGATGCGATTTATTCCTTCTAGAAATAATCTGTGACATTCTTGGCCATGATGTCGCCTTGGGGATCATTTTCCTCTGGGAGGGAACCATGGCAACAAAAAGATAAACTGCAGGCTTATCTACACATACAGACTGTGGGATTTGAATGAGTTCTGTCTCGAACACATTCAAAAATCAGAGCTTCTTATGCCATGTTCACATCAAGATTTATAAAAGTTGTTGCTTCAACCATTGTGTGATCAAATCTAACATGACATGAACATGGCATCAGTCATGTACCGCCGAGGCCCAGAATCACACAGGTTTCATTTCAGCTGATTTTCTGAACTTTTCTAATTGTGCAAAATCTTGGACCTTGACGGCAGATGGCTGGGAGTCATTGATGAAAGCGTGTCTGACAGCATGTGTGTGTGTGTGTTGATTCTTGTGTGTAGGTGAGTGTTTGGGTGGGTGTGTGTGTGTGTGTCAGCCCCAGAGTACCTGTGAGAGGGGGGAGAGTAAGGGGGGAGAGTGAGCGCCCGAAGGCCTCAGTCTGTCCCGGCCTCTCGGGCTCTGCTGAGGAGCCCCCCTGCAGTGGAGACACACTCTTCCCTGCGTACACGTTCTCCAGCTCCGTGTACACACCTGTCATCTATGAATGGAGGCATGATCAGCTGGTTAGCACTCAGAACATTTGCTTTGAAGGTCTGCTGCTTTTAAGCATTTTAAGAAATCAAATTTCATATCACAAGCGGACCTTCAAACAACGTGAGACCAGAGAGCACAGGTAACATGACCAGCAGCGGTTATACCTACATGACTGAGGTCAGGGGACTCGGGGAAGGAGGTTCCATCTCCTGACTGCCTCTCCTCCGGGCTCCCAGATTCATCGACATGAATTCCTGAAGCACAATAAAGCATGAACAGTGACACATGGAACGAAAAGCCTCCTCCATCCGTCAAACCTCCAGCCAAGAGAGAGGAGAGAGGATGAAGCAGAGCAGGAGAGCGTGGAGGAGCACGAGGCCAAAAGCTGGGCTCCTGGAGCAGGAGTTAGCAATGGTAATGGAAAACAGGGGGAACTATGAATGAAATACCCGAAGCCTACAACAGCCTCAGATGGATAAAAATATGTGCTTTCGAATTAATAGTTTTTGGGGGCGCTTATGAAAAGCAAAGACAGCTGAGATGTGGAGTTAATGTATGAACCGACGATGCCTTCGAGTGTCTGCAGAGGATTTGCTGAGAACGCTTGTTTTTCAGCAACATCCTGCTGCACGGTCTGTTCTCACTGTTACACACAGTCTCACCTGGGAGCTGACCAGTGCAAACTCAGCTCTTATTACTGAGTTCTGAGCCGTTCAGCCGGAGCCAGTGGGGGTTAGATGCCTTGCTCAAGGGAATATTACCAGTACAGGAAAGGATAGGCTGCGTTACTCACTTACTGTCTCTACCTCGAGTTTACTCCTGTCCTGGGATTCCAACACAAAGGATGCAACAACTGAACACTGAATTAATAATAAGAAGGGGATTTCAATAGACACAGATAAGCTTTCATATGCATATGCAATGCAAACTTTATTACTATAATACTATGCTGTATACTATATTACACATTATAGTATTCTTTTGAGTTTCTGTTATATATAATAGCTATTGTATAATAACAGTACTCTATTATTATTGTATAGTTTGTGTGTATACATTATTTTTATTTTCTTATCCCTCAGCCAGTCGCTTGTGTAACATGTACATTTCTGCTCTGGGATCAATAAAATCTTTTTTTATCTTAGAGTAGAGGATGAAAAAAAATAAATAAAACCCACCACCGCCAACGAAAGTGTGGTTTGTTGAAGATTTTATATTCACTGGCAAATACTGTTATGTCAGGTTGGGTTTTAAGAGACGCAGAGAGAAGAAAGAGATGATGACGTGTCAGAGCAAAAAGGCTCAGTTCAGGTGGGAGTGTCTTAAATTTCCATTTTGGTGGGAAGTTTTTAATCCAGAGAAAAAGCTGGAAAGCTGTTGAAATGTTGGACTAAACTTCCCCCTGGAGATGAATGATAATAGTTCTGTGCTATAGATCAATAAAACCTTGCTTGTCAGGAAGGAAATGATCTTGCTTTGGATGTTACGTGCAGCGTACCCATTCCCAGGTGAGTCCCGATGATGCAGTCGTCAGAGCTCCTCTCTCGGACGATGCCGCGGTACGACGTCCCCGTCACGCGCATGGAGCTGCTCCGCCGGTGGTGCTCCGGACCTGCGTCGGGCTCTAACACTGCTGCAAAACACACACAAACACACACTCAGCGACACTTTATTTATTTATATTTTAAGATTATTATGCACAGCTGCTCCTTTGTGTCCGCTTTAACGATAAAAAGAAAAAAAACATTAAAATGCATTATAAAAGTTTAATTTTCAATTTCATCAACCATCTTTAAGTGATTGCCTGCTCATATATATATATATATATATATATATTCTTATTTTTAACAAGTGCAGATAATCTCCATATTGGATGTTCTAACTCACCACTGCTCTTGAAACCCAGGAAGCGTGACAGTTTGCCCTGGCAGCGCTCCTGTTCGTCGTAGGTCAGTAGCTGGTAGATGAACTGCCAGATCAGCTGTTTGGCTGGAGTGTCCAACACTGGAAACACGTCTACTATAAGGGTGTCCACGTTCCTGCAAACACACACACACACACACACACACACACCCATACATGTAATCCTTATGTAACACACCCCTACGTGCTGCTGGGTAATTGACTGTCATTTGATGTAAGGATTTGGCTTAGATCTATATCCTTTGCATCTGTGAGGACACATACAGCTGAGGGTGAAAACAGATTATAAAAAAGGTAGGAGGATAACAGAGATGTCAGTTACGCTAGGATTCACGCCTCTGGGTTTTTATACTGTATGCATGTACAGTAGAATTCAGTTGCTTTTTTTTCTCCTTATAACCCTGGTGCATCACGTTTTGCATGATCTGCAGAGCTAATTCACCATCCATCTCTTGTCTTCATCCCTTCATACTCGAGGAAATGTTATCCCTGCTTCCCGCTCAGCTCTGCGCATCTGTGTCTTCATTGCTTGTCCGCTCCACATGCATCAATCTCTGTTTCTATCTCTGTCTTCTGCCTGCATTAAGAACACCCTTAACAGCTAGTTTTCTTTCAGTATTACCGCACACACAAAGTGTAACAGATGCCGAGAACTGAACTTAAAGCCACGTTCTGCACTTACTGCTTGGACCTGCCAACCTCTACGAGAGCTGATGCTCCCAAGTGAGGATGGTGATTATAATAATAACCAAACATGCTGAAAAATAATGCTATGAATTTCTAACTTTTCAGAAACCTCTGGAACAAAGAAATACACCCTCAAGCAGCTGCTTCTCTCCTCGCTCCCATCCCTCTGCTCTCTTCCATCTGTTTCGCTTCCATCGCATTAGTGCAGACTGGAGACCAACATGTCTCTGACTCCACGTGGATCCCTTCATCCTCTTTGTCTACTTCCATGTACAGACCCCTCATCCCTCCATCCCACTGACCTGTGCTGGAAGAAAGTCTCCAGGGCCTTGCAGACTGTGTACCTCTCCTGGATGGTCAGCAGGTGCTCCAGCTGCTGGCTGAAGGTCCGCCCGTGGACTTTGATGCTTGGTGGAAGAATCTCGGCCACCCACTGCAAAGAGCTGAGGGCCGGAGACCTGGACAGCCGACACACTGGGATATTATCACCTTGTTTTCCATGTATACATTCACACTTCATGTTATTTAAAAGTGTCAGTGTTGTTGACAAGAAGAGTCTGATGTTAGGTTCTTAGTTTCAGCAGCTGAGGACACGTGGAAATGCCAGTTCAAAATGTCAGGTTTGTCGGTGCGCACTGACCTAGAGCGTGGTAACGTGGCGGGGGCCAGGCCAGGAGACTCCTCGGGGTCGGTCTGGTCTGAAGAGTAGTCTGACGGACCCTCCTCCACCACCAGAGTGGGCATCGCCCCGCTGCCCTGCAGCATGGACACCACCTTCTCATGGGAACAGTTCCTACAGAGAGAGAAGACAATGTGAGTGAAGGTTGTAACTAATAAACCATGATTTCTTTTTATCTAAATAATTGTAAAGAGGTCAAATCATCCAGTAATTTCCAATAAAAAAAAGGCAAATATTACAAAAATAAACAGAACTTTGTGCAGCAGCAGTGTATTTTTTTAACTTTCCTATCCTGCTAATCATCCTGTGACCCCTCACATTTATTCTGCGACTCACTGTGGGGGTCCCAACTGGAAAAAAACATCCTCCCACGCAAAGTGTTGATACAGCTCCCATGCCTCATAATAATATACTATGAATATTTATAGTCACTTAAAATGTAACTGTATAACTGTGATCTTGTGACCAAAGTCTCACACTAATGAAGACTGTGAGATGCTGTTAGAAGTTCCTTTGAGTGGAGACTATCTGTGCTGTAATTATAAATTGTTTCACTGTGCAAAAAAACCAAACAAACAAATAAACAAGATCCTTCCTAAATGAGACGGATAAAACTGATAATGAGGAAATAATTAATTTTCAGAGAATCCTATGAAATCATGGAAAAGACACATAATCACTTGTCATCACCCCAGAGAACTAAATATTAATAAAGGAACAAATAACAACAAAGTCAGGCTGTGAAATGTTTTGCTTCCTTGGATTAAATCTGCCTCGCAATGTGTCGACTGCTCCAGGAGACTCTGTGAGCTGCAGTCCACACTTACTGTTATCATCTTATTCTTTACATGATCTACAGTCGACATAGTCCCAGCTACAACGCTGTGCTGTATGTGAGAGAAGATGACTGTTGGGATAGAAGATATCATTTTCAGGTTTTAATACACCTGAGGTGAGGACTGTACAAAGCGCTTCAATCAATATCGTAACTATCTCGTTTTGCACATTTCAGTAGATGTCATAGACCATATGTTCACTTTGTAAACAGCTCCCACATATCATGTACTTTATTTTCTTCCTCTCTCCGGTGAACAACTCCCACTGTTTTTCTGATCACCTCCTACTGCTGCAGCACCGTGTTATCAGGGTGAGCAGCGACATTATACAGCGCCAATCAAATCAGTACATCAGGCAGCCATGGGAACAGCTCTGCAATTCCTCTATCACATGGCTATCAAGGTGGCAGGGTGAGTAATACTGTTTCTTCACGCAGCATTGGATATGTTGGCTGATACGCTGGTTGGTAGACTCCATTTGCTGAGCCTGGAAAGGTACCATTCAATTTCATCCATGATGAATTTCTTATCTGCACTCCCACACTCGCTCTCTGAAAATCCAGAGACTGAAGGTCAAGAAGTTGCGAAGTCCACGTGAAAAAAACTACCACGACTCCTACAAGAAAAGTTCAGTTTACATAAAAGCTTGTGTTCACACGTGTCGTACCTGCAGAGACACGTGCAGAAAAAGGTTAATTAAAGCCAGTGTCACTTAGTGTTCTCGCCTATTGAATATTGTATCTGTTCAGTACATCATCTACTGTACGTCAGGCTTTAGCCATGCTAGCAGCACCGCTGTAGGGATGGCTACGTCTGTCGGACGGTCCGGACTGGAATATCGTTTATATAACTGCTGGATGAATGTTCCATTAAAATCTTGCTTTCATTTGTGTTCCCTTAATGATGACATTTTTTTTTAATTTAAATTAACATTGTAGTGCAAAAATTGCTGTTATCTTCTCCATTTTATAAATATCCATTGCAATTTCCATCCATGTATTTAAAGTTTCATGATGAATTTTAATCTCTCTTAAACTGTTGATCCCCTGATTTTTCCTGTAGCGCCACCAACAGGTCAAACTTTTTATGTCTGATACTTTGGTTTGACACACGACCAAATACCTGCCAAACCACCGGCATTCCCACCTGCTGTGTGTTAACTGCTAATTACCGGGCTTTGTTGTTTGGTGCTACTGTATTTACTAAGATGGGGAACATTGTAAACTGTTAGCACTGCAGCTGTGAGCATGTTAGCATGCTAATGTTAGTATTTACCTCAAAGCACTGCTGTGCCTAAGTACAGCCTCACACAGCAGCTAGTGCGGCTGTAGACTGTTTGTAAATTGTACTTGTCTCTACAGTGAAAACTTCCATCCATTCTGGCTCTTTCCACTGCCACAACAAAGAAGAGTTAGATGTGATCATAAATTTTGAAAAAGCAACATATTTTTGAGGGTTTAATTCGGGCCTGAGTCTTCCATTTCCTCCTGAGAGGGACTGACAGGAAGCAGAGCGCAACGTACAGACTGTTTCAAAACTCAGCTAAGAAACAGTGAAAAAAACAATGACAGAGGAACTATGAAAAAAATCAAATAAAAGCTTAATGTGCTCTGTAATGTCTGTAATCTGGCACTGTGAGAGATGTTTTTATACTGGCAGCAGATGGTTTCTCCTGGAGACAAACAAGCCCCTGATATCCAAAGTTCAAGAACTTGGACAGTGGGCAAAGACAAAATACCACTGCTGCTGCTGCTAATAATAATAACAATAATAATGATGATAATAATAACTATGTTATCCATTAAAGACAAACCTCATGTCCAGTCCATTGAGGAAGAGGATACGATCGCCTGGTTTCAGTCCACATTCCTCAGCAGGACTATCTGAGAGGGAGACAAAAGATGGCAGACAAACACACATCAATCGGAGAGTGACAAAGCAACCCTGGCAGCAGCTAACAAGGTGCACCGAGCATACGGGCTCCACAGGGAGAGATGGTGACTAATGTGATGCCGTCAATCTGCGTGTGACACCCAACAAAGCCCATCAACAGATGAGATGATCGCCGTGCTAAATCTTATTACGTAAGGAAACAGTGCTGTCAAAACAATCTCCGGTGGAATCTGTTCTGACTGCGCTGCACCCGTCCGCCGTCGCCTCCTCATCTGTCAACTCGCTGCTCGCTTTCCCTCACAGTGAATGCCATGTCATATTTTTTATTTTTATCTTTTTTTATTTTTTTTTTTAAAAACCAAAGTTTGGATGTAACAAACTCCTAATGGGATGATGTAGTGTGTGTGCAGGTTTAGGCGCATTCGCGGGCCACGAGAACAGACTTCATATCGTGGAGCTTGTGGTTTTCCTGGTTATCGATGGAGGATCTGTGTTCAGATCACGATGAGACACATGCTGTCCACCCCCACCATCTCCACATCAACCTCCATAAGGCCCACTGAGTCAGCCCGCTCTGGCCGCTTCAGCACATGATGGTGGGAGATGATGGTGGGCGGGAATGGTGCCGTCATCATCAAATACACACACGTACTGTACACACACACACACACACACAGTACACACACAGTACACACACACCTCCCTCTCTGTCGAGGAATCTGGCCAATTCCCTCAAGAGCAACTTCACAGCTTCTCTTGTCTCCTACTTTTATTTCACAAAGCAATAACAGTTAATTAAATAACCTTTAACTGCTGGAAATTTAAAAAAAAAGTAAATTAAAGTAATTAAAATGTTCACCAGAGGCTATTTGTAGAAATGACCCCCCAAAGTTTGATTATCACAGTAATAATTGTAAAGCAGTAAGTCATATGTTATATAGACTACAGTTAAACTGAGCTTACCACTTAAGAATTTAAGCAATATAAAGTTCTGCATTGCTGAGACACACCTGAGGGAAGCTGATATTTATGAATTAAACAAACAAAATACAACGTGTTTATTAGTGAGCTTTAGCCGTGCTGGTGGATTAATCACCTTTGGACAGAGCCAGCTGTTCCCAGTCTTTATGAAAAGATATCTCCTCGTCTGTAGCGTCATATTTACCAAACTGATATGAGAGAGGTATCAATCTTCTCACCTGACTCTCAGCAAGAAAGTGAAGTAGGGAACTTCCCAAAACATCAAACTTTACTTCTGAAAGAAATGATTTAGATTCTTCTATATAATGGCAGCTGTTGTCACACCTTGGTTGTTTGTTGTGAAATGAGGTTTGCATTACAGAGAACATACAGTACATGCTCCTCTGTGGGCGTCCATTAGGTAAACTGAAGAAATGAAAAGAAGTCAATCTGAAAACAAGGAAGCGTTTCTGAGATTCTGTTACAGCAGATTTTTACCTGGCAAAAGTATTTAGTATGAAATTGTGATAAAACTATGTGATGCTTACAGAAGCCCTTAATTATTTTAGAACTCATTTGCAAGAGGTTTGAATTTTTTGCACCTAGAAATCAACACGACTAATATATTCCCAAACTCTGGGGCCGAGCGTTCACCGAGAAAAAAGACAACATGAAAGCAGGATGTAAAAAGCTCCAACTCCAGAGAGAAATCAGTGTAAAATCCCTGAATGTAACATCACTGACAACTGTAAGTGTGTGTTACAGCACAGCACAGCACAGCACAGCCTGTTCTGAGTGTTTTCCTCTTAACATTTTATTGGTGAGTCAGACAAATCCACTTCCTGGTACACTCATAGTCACACACACAAACCACCTCCTGATCACCTTCAACCCCCAGCGGCTGGCACCACAACAGACTCACCCACATGAAATACATCCTCCCCTCCCTCCCTCCGCCAGCCGACACAGGACAATATTTTGTTCAAACCACCACACAAAGTGAGGAGGCGTCTCTCAGGGCCGTGCCGTGCTGGTTTTTAATAGAGGAGCGGTACCTGGGATAACGGAGTCGATGCAGACGGGAGCGTGACCTCGCAGCGTGAAGCCAAAGTTCTTCTTGCCCCTGTAGACACGAACGATCCTGAGGGGGAGACGTAAATGGGTCGTGAGATGAAAGAGTGAACATCTGATTTACGGAGTCATGACACTAATTCAATTTCCTTCACACTGAAATAAAAATACGTTGAGCTGATATCATTATGTACCTCTTTTGCATCACTAATGGAAAAAAAAAAAGCCTTTTATGCCACAATCATATGACCTTTTACTACAGAATACATTTACTCCACACCTCTCCATTCAGAACAATACTGCAGTTTCTTTTTCACGGTGACACAAAGCACACACGGTTCAGTGCAGCGCTGAAACAATTAATTTTATCTTCAAATTAGTTTATTTGTTTAAGTGATTTTTCCAGGTAGAAGTCGAACATTTGAAGCTCCAACTGTTCTTCTTCTTCTTCTTCTCTGTTTTATTTAAATGTAAATTGAATTTGAGTTGTGGAGAGTTGGTCAGACAACGATAGCAACCTGAAGATGTTGTTTTGTGTTAATTCATGTGCAAAGTGGCAGTTTCAAGTCATTCCTAAACTTCCTGTTTCAAGTAGAAATACATCACATTAGAAAAACAATCCAACATTTAAAAGCTGCTTCTGTGTAATCTCAAGTATCTCCAGTGTCTTTCTTCGGCTTCAGCTACCTCTGATTTTTGGTATGTCGTTGATGAAACGATGAATTAGTTATTACAGCTGTTGTCAACCCACTAACCAGTTAATCGTTTTAATTGTCAATCATTTAACTGCGCTGATGCATAACAGCCTTCCTGTGAATGGACGGGCAGCACAGCTGTCTCTGGAGGGAGCGCTCACTCACTGCTGTTTACGAGGCTGTTTATGCTTCACTTTTGTTTTGGTTCGTCACTTCCTGTTGGTGGGAGTCTGAACAAGTGGAGACATGATGCTCTTTTTTTATTTTTCTCTCCCTGCGATCCAACTTAGTGATTTAGTGCAGCTTCCACCTCGTCTCCACATCACTCCACACGTCTCTCTGTGTCTGTTTTACTGCAGCTTCTGGCGCTAAATTAAAAAAATCTTTCAGGACACTCTCCACATAGAAAACAAGTGCTGACATTTTGCTGATGGTGGCACTTCACTCTCATTCAACCCCCCCCCAGTGGAGGAACACACACTGGAGCCACCCATTACATCAAAGATGAGGCACACTTGCAGCACGTTGCCATGGAAACGACTCAAGGCAACACTGCCTTCATATGTAAACAGGGGGGGGTGAAAAAAGACAAAAACGGGGGGGTTGGGGGGGGCAGAGAAAACAGACAAATCTATTGTTTGATAGCTGCTGTTACTGTTATGTAAGATAAACTAAATGCAGATGGGTGCATTCTGTGCTGTGTGTGTGTGTGTGTGTGTGTGTGTGTGTGTGTGAGGAGGGTGTTGCAGAGAGCAGCATCAACCTTGAGCACACTTGACAAACTGCGTCTATACGACTATCGGGCTGCTCAAGGCCTCTCCTGCCTCTCATCAAGTCAACACCAGCTGCTCTTCATACTTTTACATGATGTCACATGAAGTCAGGGAGCACACAAAAAATATTACATAACAACCCAAAGAGAATCAATCAGCCACTGCTGAATGAAATCCACTGGGACATCAGCAACCGGCACATTGTGCACCAGCTACAATATTGACCTGAGAAGACAATTGCCAATCTATAGTGATTGATTTTGATTATCTTCATCAAGTTTGTAGTTGTAGTAAAACAATCACATCTGTGGGGGGGGGGGGGTCATTAAAAACAAAAAGTTATATCTATATATTTGAAAATGATTAAAACTTATCTATCTATCTAGTTACTGTGGAGACACAACAGAGTTACACAACACTTTTGGGGGTGGGGGTGGGGGTGGGGGGGTTACTCAGGGATGCATGCAGCAACACCTTCTTATTGTGCCACTTTCACCACACGACGTAATCTCTCCCCCTCAACACAATCAGTTTGTCTCCTATTGCTGTGTGACCTGTCAATATGTTCACACTTGACATGTTCAGCATCACATTATTTTCTCTCCCATGTGGATGAAGACAGATCTTGGGATTTAGTTGGCTGGCTTAGTGTGGGAGTGTGGGAGTGCACTGCCCCCCCCCCCCCCGTGTAATCCTGCACTAAATCCATTTGTGCTGTTATTAATTGGACAGTCGTGTAATCAGTGTGTTGGTGGGTGGAGGCTGAGCCGGAGAGGTGGAGCGGTCAGGGGCTCTGAAACGATGCAGATTTAACATGTTGAATAGTTGGAGGTGGCAGAAATAGAAATACTGTACATCTGAACACTGTCTCTGACTTACACTGTACGCTATAAAAACATGATTCTTATACACACAGATTTTGCGTTTCTTAAGTTCAGTTGTCATGACTAGACTCGGAGCTTTAGGATGTAAACATCAGAACATGACAGGAAAACTAGCCAGACACTGTATGAGAAAATACCTTGTCCCCTGATTCTTATATGTTTTCAAAACTACTCTAAATATCTGAATAAGGAAGTGAATCATTGGCTGTTGCATTAGGTGTTGAGATTAACCTGTTGGCAGCCTGAATTCCCATCACATACACGTCTGCTCACCTCTGATTCGGTCCAATGGGGGGATGTGCGGGTACCCCAGAGACGGACTTCCTTACGCCCCTGTCTCTTTCTCCCTCACCCCTCCCTCCGGGTTCTCCTCCATCCCTGGGCACGGAGCTGGCCCGTTTGGACCCGTGGCGGCGCTCGGAGTGATCCTCGCTCCGACTGCGCCGCACTCTGCCATGCGGCTCGCTGATGCTCTTGCTGCGGCACAGCCGGTTGATCACGTTCTGGGAGACAGCCTCATCGAAGCGCTGCCGGTGCTTCTTCGGGATGAAGATCCTGGCAAACATGGTGGCATGTGAGGGAAATAAATGAGGGGTGATATAAGTTCGTCTGTCCACAAGAGTTGCCTCAGAATTAAAAAAAAGAAAAAGAAAAAAGAAATGAGCAGGAAAGAGGATGGATCTACATCACAGATCCACCTCGATCCATTCTGAAAGCACACAGTCCATAATCAAAAATCTTCGATTTCCAGTGAAATAAGTCAAACATCCAGCATCATCATCGATTTCTACCGAGATAATCTTCACAATCCAAGTCCACGCCAAATTCAAATCAACAGGCTTCCTCCTTCAGCACTTAGACTCAAAGACAAGAAAAGGAAAATGAAAACGCTTGTGATGGACAGATGACGTGGAGGAGACTGCTGTCCCCAGAGAGGAGATAAGAAGAGAAGTTAAATGGGAAGCCAGAGAGAAAAAGATCTTGCTCTGAGGAGAGACAGTGAGGAAACCTTGGCATCACTCGCTGCTCGCTGGAGTCTCACTGCTGCAGCGTGAGGTATCAGAGCCAGAATACAGCAAGAGAAAAAAGGTGTGGGAGTGAGCGAGCATGGGATTTCTCCTCTGCTCTCTCTCTCTCTCTCTCTCTCTCTCTCTCTCTCTCTATCTACAGTATCTCACTCTCTCGCTCTCCTACACTTCCGTCCACGCCTCACCTCTGTGTCACTTTGTCAGGGTGAGCACTGAGCAGGAAGCTGGCATCATCTACTCGACCTCGGACCTTAACAATTTTCACATTTTAATACTTTAAAGTTTTCCAGCTTTATGAGAGAGAGGCATCATTAACCGAATGAAAAACAGCACTGAGTAGGTGGATAGGTTTTTACTATATTAATCATTCTCTTTTCAGTTGTGAAGAACAATAAACAGGCAGCTTTATCCTGTTCAGATGCTGTTTTCACTCAATTTTCATTCAAATGCAACATTTCTTAGATCTTACGCTTTTTTATTTTAACAACAGAAGCCAAAGTTTTAATGTTAAACACAAACAGCCTTATGAAAAACTTTACCAAAATAAATCTGACTGATTCAACTCCGAAACGATCTGATTAAAAAAAGATTTTAACAAATCTGACTTGACGGTTTTCAGTACTCGCTGCTACAAACACTGTTTTAGTCTGTACGGGGAAAAGTAGTGAGGTTCCATATTGAACTCTAGACTACAAACATACGTTTCGTGGCACAATAATCTTGCTGAGAGATAAGTGTGTTCTGTACATGCTGTGCTGTCCACCCCCCCCCTCCACACACACACACACACACACACACACACACACACACAACAACACACAACTACTAAGATGACAACAGAAAATAACTTTTCATTCAATGATCAGAAAAGCTGCCAAGCTACACATCCACACACACACACACACACACACACACACACACACACACACACACACACACACACACACACACAACACACACACACACACACACACACACACACACACACACACACACACCACATTAAACCACATTAAGATTAAAACCAGTTAGTGGTTTTAATTCGCACACACACTTTCTAAAACGATACCTGTGGGGATATTCACACTGTAACAGTACTATGAGCCAACTGGCCAACATCATCTTATTTTGGAGGATTTATTGTGACAACAATGAATATGTTCTCATCAGAGAGAAAAAAAACAAGAGCCTACAGGAGAATACACAGTATAAACACACAGCATGTCACATATGTTAACACCACGTCTTTTTCCAAAACCGGACCCAAAGGAAATGTAGAAAATTCATACTGCACTGTTTAACCAAGCCGACGTGTCAGGCGAGGCAGAAGTTAATTATTGGATTCCACGTTTGTTGAATCACAGCGACATTAAGATCCAACTGAGAGCTGAGCTCGAGCACAGATTCGCACAAACAAGCGTTTTTTGATTCCCGCCTACACCAGTCTGTTGTGTTCTGACTGGCTGATCTGCCGCTGATCTGCTGATCAGATGAATCAGCCACCAGCAGACAGGCTGCAGCGCGATCTGTGCAGAACAGCACCAGGCGAGTAATTAGCGACACACGCGCCGAGAGAGAGAGAGAGAGAGAGAGAGACAACAGCTACCACTGTACGTGACCACAAGAAGCTAATTAAGCTGCGTAAAAACAACTATGACAGCTAAATAAGGCAATTAGGACACACTTATTGTACAGAGAGAAGGAGAGAGAGACAGAAAAAAACAACTTCACAACAAACGTGAGGCCTATCTGCTGCTCATTTCATTATCCAGACTTGTTTACTATTTCTTTGCATTTTTATTGAAAGGTATTTGGGTAAATACAGAAAACCTTTAGCCCTGTGCTGTTTTTATAGTGTATAGCAAAAATAAATCTTGATGTGTGGAACCCAAAAGGTCACAATGACACGCTTGCTTTGGGGAAAAAAACTGAATTGAAATAGAAGTGAATCAAATAGATCCTGATCCATTATCTGTCTATAAGGCCGATACCAGTACAGATAACTGGGAGTTTAAAAACTTCAACAGCAGTGCAACAACTGATACAAGTGTGTAATGGTAGCGCTGTTCTCCACTGACTTTTGGTGTTTCTGCACAGCAATTTCTTGTCAGTTTCAGATCTCATGCTACTCTACATTTAATCTGTGTTCATATTTTGCTAACCAGGTAAAAAAAAAAAAATCACTATTCATTACTTTTTGACTTTTAAAGATAGTTAACTTTTTTTTTTTTTATCAAACTTCTGGGGAACTAATCTCATCGTGTGTTGTAGGCGCTGCCAAAAGGTTAGTCGGTAATAAAAATAGATACAACACACTGCAGGTGAGCTGAAGTCTACGACTACATACTGAAAGTAATCAGATACAGTCCCGTGCAAAGTTCTACATCACGGATCTGTTGAGTGAAAAGGTTTAATATTCCAAACCTAAAAAATCTGACATTAGTTTTTTTCCCCCCCAGTGGCAGAATGAATGAACAACACGCTGCTGCCCTCTTGACAGGAGCTCTCCGTTCAGCACCACAACAACAACAACAACAACAACAACAACAACAACAACAACAACAACACAATGACAAAACATTTTGCTCCTGCTTGAATTATCGTGTTTATTACGCGATTTTTAAATGGCTCACAGCAGCTGCAGTTTTACAGCCATGTGATTAAAGCAGCCAATTAAACGCTTCTTTTTTATTTTTTTTTCTAGACACAAAGAATCAATTTAGTACTGCTGAGCCTGTCATCAAGTTTATCTCACATTTGGCTTGAGTTGTTTCTTTTTTTATTATTTTTTATTGAGACAACTTTAACAGAAAGCCTTGTGTTGCAAATTGGCAGTGTGGAGTTTGACAGACCTGGGCGTTCAGGTGGGGAGCGTTTTATGTATAACAATATCAAGTTATGATGATTGGACGTGTAGGATCTTTGGGATGAGCGGTATGGCTAATGAATTAAAAAATTACTTCTCTTCTCAATTCACTTCTATGTAGGGCAATTTTATCTATTTTAAATTTTAAAACATTTTTTTTTACCCCTTGTGTGAAAAATAGCAATTATATTTCCAAAGGCGTCTTATCTTCACCCAATTTTCCATATTTAGCAGCAGAATTGAATCATTTGAAAGATGATATAAGGGAATAAAAATCTACACATAGCAGCTTTAAGTTATCTGCGATCCTAAAACAGACCCTATTTATTTAAATGTGTTTGCTATGACTCGTTTTAGCTCGGCTGCCACTTTTAACAAATGGTGGGTGTCTCATTTTTGGGACAAAATCTTTTCAGTAAAATATATAGGCCACATATTCTTAGCCTGCTGTCACTGTCGCTGCAGATTGTGATCAGGTTTGAGATGTACTTGCATCTGACTGCAGTCTGAGACGCTGTTGACTGAGCACAGACTACCGGCTACAACAAGCAAACTCCAGAGATATAAATAAATGTTCTGTAGTGATGTAGGTGTAGCAGCCCACACAGTCCCTCTGTTTGCTATTCGCGCTTCCCTGCTATTTGTCATCTATTCATATCACAGCACTAATTCGTCTCCGTCTCTCACACACATACAGCAACCTGTCTGTGTCAGGGTGTGTGTGTGTATGTGTGTGTGTGTGTGTTTGTGTGCAGCTGCTGCTATCAGCATTATGTTTTTATAAATGCAGATGTTGATCCACCTCAGAATGAAATGCCATCTGTTGAAACAGCCGCCTCATCACAAAAAGTTTTCCGCGTCAACTCTTGGAAACTAAATGAGTGCTCTGATTTGACCTCATTTATAAAGAACAGAGATCTATAATTATCTGAAGGAGGGTTGTGGAGGAGGAAGCAAGCAGGGAGGAAGGGACAGATTTCTCAAAAGGGAGGAATGACAAGCAGAAAACTACAAAGAGGAGACCTCATTTCATTTCAAGTGTCCAGATGTGGCTCCAGTGCAGGTAAGTGAGTCTTTAACTGTGCGCTTTGTTGCCGTGTCTAAACACATGCAGATATGACATAACAATGTGTGTCCTCGAAAATAATGGAAGCAGTGCGGCGGAGGACTTCTCCTTAAAGGATCTTTTTTTTGCCCTCCTTCTTTTTAACACTGACAAAAAAGGGATAAATTTAGGGATAAAAAGCTGTGGAATTAAAAAAAGACTTATATGAGCATCGGTGGGTTTCTGGTCTGTGTCCAGGATATTTACAGACTGTGGTAGTGGAAAAGGTCAGCCGCATCTGATCCACCGCTCAGACATGTACACACTGAATTAATGAGGTTAAAAATATGTGTGATCAAAGTGCGCCTGTTTATAAAAGGGATCCTGATAAAAAACTAAATAATAAAAACAGAAAACAAGCAAAGAAAACAATGGGAAATATATAATAATATGTTACATAACTTACAGTATGCGGAGGTTCCAGGTTCAGACAGGACTGAAGGCTGTATATATATATATACATACATATACTGTACACACACTTATCCCACATGTGATGCTTATACCTCATTCACGTCCATTATACTAAATCTATTTGGTGATTATTAATGGTTTAAGTGATGATGGCGCAACAAAATTACACAGATCTCTGTGATAGTAGCTCCACTGAGGATCAGTTAACGTTGGACCAATCACCGGACCTGAGTGGAGCTGGTCAGATCAGTGGTCCCCAGCTGTTTTTGCTGATGATCCTGCAGTATGAAGCCACATCGACATGTGCGTCCTCGAGGTATGATCAGTTCAGTTGAAGAGTGAACTTGGCTTCTCAGACAGTTTCATTTGAACAGTTTTTATAAACCTGAGGAAAGGAAACAGTCTGGAAAATTTACATAATTTGGTTTGTCTTATTATTTCCAACAGTGATCTCACTCCGACTTGTTTTATCTTGAACACAACATATTTTTATGTCCAGTTTTCAACTACACATAAAAATTCTTCATATTTCTCTTCTTTGTTTTTAATCATCTTAATGGTCTATTAGGGCGTTTGTTCTTCCTTCAGCCTGAACAAGGTGGTAAGCAATTCTCCCATTCTTTCTAAAGATAACTGGACTGTGTTTATATTGGAAATAAGCAAGTTATGAATGCGTTGCCTTCATTGTCTGTTTGTGTTCATCACCAACTTTAATAAAAACAGCTTTAAAGGTACTTGGGAGCCACTAATGTTTCTCCTCTGGTGCAGTGCAGCAGCTAAGAACTGGCTCCAGCTACTGGCTCCTGTAGTTAAGATTAAACACCATCATTATCAACGCTACTGAAAAAGAAAGCTTTGTGCATGTAGTGTAGAGCAGATCTGGAGGAGCTGGTAACTGTATTATTGTGACTGGTCAGGACCAACCATTATATATTATATATATATATATATATATATATTATATTAGGCACAACTGCCACCACAGTAAGAGACAGTAACATGGTTTGGATGATTAGTTAGAGTTGTAAAAGACTTATTTAGCTCGATAAGCACATCTGCTTTTAAACACATCTAATGTTCTAATGTACACACACACACACACACACACACACACACACACACACACACACACACACACACACACCCACACACACACACACACACACACACACACACACTCGGTATAATACAGGCAGATGAAATTTAAAAGTAATATTTATGTAATCTGCAAGTCAACATGATGCTCAAAAGCATCCACCGCACAAACACACACACACACACACACACACACACACACAGACCCCCACCCACACAAACACGTGTCATGAGATTACATCCTAAAAGCAGCGCATCACTCATCCTGATGACTTCAGTCACTTAGAGACGGGCACAACAGCAGGTCTTTGTATTGTTAACTGTTTCAACAAGCAGTGTCCATCCATCCAAGTGCTGTCATGTCACATCAAACTGCATGAGTATGCTGTTGGGTTTTCACTAGAATTAGTAAATCATATATTTAAAGCTCTGTAGTAAATTGCCTTGAAGAGATCTTAGAAAGAAGCTGGAGAATGAACAGAATCAAAGCTAGAAACATTATGTCAAACATCAGCAGCCATCGCCATGTCCTGTGTCAGATTGCATTAAATATTCACTCCCCTCCCACTTCACATAGAAAAAAATTCACAGAATAAGCTGATAAAAATGCAATTTTTTTTTTTTTTTTAATTCCCTCAAAAGCAAACAACCAACCAACCACAACCACATTTCATAAAACCTTCGTGTGAAAAGAATGAGATGTACTCACCCCAGGCAATTCATCGTTTTAGCTGTCACCCATAGCTCCAAGATAAAACAAATCTAAACACGAGTTGCACCACCTATGGCAGTAGTGATCAGAACAGCAGACACACCCACTGCTACAGTGATCCTTGGCTGAGGAGGATAAAAGATATGGTGGGACCTTTGGTGCAAGCAGGAGGCTGCCTCTACCCAAGTGTCAAGGGAAAATAGTCACCACACAGACAGAGCAGGGAAGTGCCTGAGCTCTCAGCACAATAGTAAGAAAATCCATCAGAACAAAACATAAAAAATCCCCTCAGAGAGAGAGAGAGAGAGAGAGAGAGACGGAGAGAACTGGGGAGAGAGGTAAGAGAGTTGTGAGATGAGTGGGGGATGGAAAAACCACAGAGAGATGGCTTCAGTGTTATTATTGGTGCTCGAGCAAACAGGAGTGTCCTTCATTACACAAATACCAATGAGGAGTTCTCAGCAGACGGTGTTTGAATTATTCATGACCAATTTAAGAGAGAAAAATCCCGTTGCCTCACATCATTTCAGGTAGGGAAACGATGCAACTACCTCCACACTGATCCCGCACTGCTGGAAACCCTTCTTACAGTGTATTAATACCACTAAACAGAGCTGAAAGTGGTGTAGTAGTAGTGGAGGAAGCCACTGTAGTAAGAGAATAAAAGGTTTGATTGGCTCAACTTGTGGAAAAAGTGCAATCTGTGGACAAACTGTGCAGGGATTTAGAGAAAGGCAGGGACGCTGGTCATACTGGCACGAAGACAACCAGGTAATTCTGGCCGTCTGAATGGTTTTTCACATTCAGTTACCTGGCGTTATTCCATCTCATGGACGCACACTTCAACACAACATCAAAAAACCTGTTGGGTGTAGATCCAGTTTTTTTTTTGTTGTTTGTTTGTTTGTTTGTTTTTTTGTAAAATGAACAGCAGATACAGAACAGCATGGCCACAAGTACTGAAAGATGTTTCCCATAAAGCGAGCACTCGACTAAATCGGTCTGTGGCTCTTCATCACAGACACCTCCATGCTGTGAATTCACTTCACGTTGCCAATTCTCGTTTACTGCTGAAAACTCTAAACTCGGGTCCCTCCAAGCCAGTTTAGCCTCTCAGTTTCACTAACACAGATGATGAGACTTTAAGCGACTTGAAGGGTCACTGTGGATTAAACCCCGGGCGACAGATGGGGCCCACCTAAACCTAAAGTGAAGCTTTATAATGGCTGGGCGGGACCCCCTCTAATCCATCCTGTGACAGAATGAGCAACAGGAAAAGCCTGTTTATGTGGTTATTATGAATCAAATCCCTGCAGATTATTTTACTTTTCACTGGGACTTGAAAATGACAAGTGTGTGATACAAAACCAAGAGAGACTGCAATAACTAAACAACAGTGGAAGTTTTGCAGTAGCACAAACTGCAATACTGACTGTCAAGAATCAATCTTGTGAACTTAATATATAATAATATATTTTTTAGGCTTTTATGGGGAGTACATTGGGGTTTAATGGACAGTTTGACCTGCACAGAACGACAGGAAACATTGGGAGAAACAGAAGAGAGTAACATTTGATAAGGGTTTGCTAACCGGACACAAATCAGGATGTCTTTGTGGCATGATATATGTCTCAGCCTGCCCTGGCTGCCTATGGATAACACATTTTGTCATCAGTTATCGCCCACATTGTCAGTATTAACACACTGTTTCTGCTGCTGGACTAAAACGGTAGGTTTCCACTGAATTCGCTGCCATATTACAAATACTTTCTGTACTTTTCTACCATCATTTATTCTATACCACGGTAGATAAATGAGATTGAAACACTCTGGCTCTTACCTGATGTTGGAGATGAGCTGTCGATGCTCGTCAGTGGTGAGTACCTCTGGCAGGACGGAGGCCAACCACTCCACTCTCTTCTCTGCTGCATACTGCTTCAGCACCGTGAAGAGTTTCTCTTTCACTTCGGGTTCGTCACCTAAAATCTGGTCAACCTGATGGAGATTGCACAGTGATGTCAGAAGCAGGGAGTAGTTTCAGGACGAGATGCTGTCACCTCATAGTTTCACACAGTGCTAGATTGTTACCATGACAACGCTTGTGCGCCTCTATTTGTTTTTGTTCTTTTCTTGCACTATAAATTATTTAAAGGCTTGTGCATTGAAGGAAATTCCACACATACATGTGTTGGATGTTAAAGGATTTAGCATCACTATAACATTTTTTTTCATACTTACAACTATAAATATTTCTACTATTAAAATCATTATATTAAATATTACAGCCTGAATAAGCAGTAATGAAAGAAAACATTCTTAGGTGTTATTTATCAAGACTTGTGCACATGTAAAACTCAGATAAACTACTTCATCAGGATTGTGTGGGCATGGTTTGATCAGATACAACAACAGTATTGCTCAATTCTGATTGGTGCACAGAAATGCACGACATCACCTTTTTCCAAATTTACTCCATCCACTTTAAACCAGTGAGAAGAGTACACACACACACACACACACACAAAAAAGACCATTAACACACAAATCTCTCCTGTGAAACAACCAAACTGTTCCAACTCCATTGATCACAGTGAGAATCTAATTTAAACTCCCCAACTCAACTGGACCAGGCGTAGGAGCTAACCCGGACTCAGCTGTGAGCGTATGTATTTCAACGTACCTTCCTGTTGAACTCCAGAGCTTTATGTTTACGGTCCAGTCTTGCCCCCTCTCCACCCATCTGACTGTCATCTATGCTGACGCTGTGTTTCTGCCTGGGGCCGAGGCACAGCACCCCCAGCCGGAGCGTCCTCCCCTGGGAGGCCTTGATCAGCGCCGCGGCCGTCTCGTGTTGCCTGACGGGGATGCCGTTGACCTCCATGACGTAGTCACCGGCCCTCAGACCTGCGCGGCCAGCCGGAGAGCAAGGCGAGCAGTCCTCCACCAGCAGGGGGCAGTCCCCGACGATGGTGAACCCAAAACGACCATCCGGACCTGGTACGATGTCCATCTGTAATGGGTGAAAAGAATATATATAATTTAAGAATTTGCCTCAGTGTTTGACCCCAGAACATCACCCCAAAAACACCAGATCTACAGGTTACTTTACTATGTCATGTAATTCCACAGACATTAATCCACAGTCGGAGAATCGCTGTGATGGATTCAAGGGCCGTCAGACCTGCTGTATGCGGGACACCACTCCGATACTGGGAGGGATGTTCTTCTGAGTCTGGGCGATGGCGATGACGGCTTGCGGACCCAGTGTCGACACATTATGGCCCTCGATCTCCAGGACCTGGTCCCCCGCCTGCAACCCTGCAAGGTGGGCGCTGCTGCCTTCCTCCACAGACAGGATGTAGCTGGGCCCATTCCCACCGAGCTGGAAGCCAAAATCCTCAGGCCAGCCCTGGTTGGACGTCGGCATGCTGAGGACTTACGGGAGGAGAGGGAGAGCGAGAGAAAAGGTGGAGGTGGAAGAGAAGAGTTTAGAAAGAAAGTAAAAGACGCACACACATTCAAACACACTTACCCACAGTGGCCAATACACCCAAGTCTATCGACATTGCAAACACACGCTTAGATCAAACAATCCTTTGCATTGACGCAGTTGTTCCCCGTCTCCTTCCTCCTGCTGTCTCCCGTGTCTCAAGTTGTACTATCGTGAACGGCTCTGTAACCCTCTACCCTGAGCCATGACACACTCAGCGGTCCCTGACCTGGTTCACAAACTCCATAGCAGCCAATCAAATTAAGGCGTCGCAGAGATTGTGACCTTAATTAGCTTGAGAGACAAAAGTTCCTCCAGCAAATTTTTTTTTTTTACTCAGTGCACATGCAAGTCTTGCCTGTTGAACGGTAATTAGGCAGCAAAGTAAGAGAGCACACCACTGACTGCACTGATGAGTTTTAAGCATGAAGGAGATAGAAAACAGCAAATAACAAATAAATAAGGCAAAATGGCAAATATAAAGGTTCAATTTTGGATTGAATTATTAAAATCAGCATGAATTAACCCATATTTAACAGTTTTCAAAAACACCTCTAATATGAAAAATACATAATTACAAAAATTGACATGTTGGCGTTTGCTAAATATAATCTACTATAAACCCTCTAGCTCAGCTGGAGGCTAATGATGTGCTCCACAGCCTCTAATACCACAGCACAGCAGGATTCACACAATGGACAAAACTGGTAAGACTTACAGAAATCTTTAGATGGATACCGAGAGCCCCGTTTGCTCTGCCGAAAAGAGTATCTGCCTTTTTTGTTTTGCAAAAACTTCTTCATCTTGAATGTCAAGGTGGCCTGCTAGCAGGCTAATATCCAATCTGTCCTCTCAAATATAATGTAAAAAAAATAATTTAAAAAAAACAACCTCCCCCCTGACCACCCCACAGCCCAAAGTCAAACAGAGAGAGTGACAAACTCAAAATATAGCCCCATTCATCCACCCTGAAACCACAGCAGCCTCCTCATGAGCAAAGGGTGAGTGTGCATGAAAAGCCAGTGCAGTCTCTTTGTGAGTGTGTCAAGGAGTTAGTCCTGCGTCTCATCCCTGATTCATCCTTGGGCCAGTCTGCTTGCACAGTGTTAATCAGAAAACTGGGACGCGTACACCCGCGCACCTCGGCTCCTTAATAATTCTCTCTCCAAAAAGGGTATTGTGAGGCCTCATTTTTCTATAAATACACCAGTGTGTCTTTTTCCTTCTCCTCCTCTCTTGGCTAGGTGGCTCTCCGAGGGACCGCTCCTGGCCCAGAATCACTCTGCGTCGATGCAAGAAAGCCTGATGAGTACTAATTGGAGCGTCTGCTTGCCTGGAATTCTGCGTGTCCGTGTGTGTGAGCACACTGAAATGTTCAGTCCATTGAGAAGGAGCAGGGGCAATTTAAGACTTTAGCCTGTAGGATTAGCTGGATTATGAGCTGAATCTTCAGCACTCCTCCAGCCCTTTGTTATTAATACTGAAGGAACACATGCTCCCCTCCATTGACGAACACGTACACTGACTATAGTGGAATCATATAGGAAACATGCATGCCTTAGGACATGTGTTATCAGGTGGTAAGTCAAAACGTATGACAAAACACTGCAGTGTCAAGACACAGTCTGTATCTGACAATGCAGGCTTTTGACTGCTAGTGCAGAGCAGGTGAAATAGTCAGATAATCTTAAAGCCACTGTGCGTGTGGAATTTTTAATTTGATTATATCGTCCTTTAAATGATCCTGAAGCCATAGGTTTATTTGTGGAACAATGAGACGTGAAAGTGAAAACTGGTGCAGTCTCTGTCACTTTCAGCCCATTCATTCTGTGTCGTCTGGTCCAATCGGTGGGCTGGTCTGAGCTGGGCGTGCACTGCTGTCTGCCACAGTTTTTCTCTTTTTTTTGATACTTCACGTCCTACAAATAGCACCTACAATCTTCTAATTTTTTTTATTTTATAGACCAACAGAAAGATTGATTAATTGAGATAATAATCAGCAGATTATCAATAACAAAAAGACCTGAAGTAGCTGAATGTAATTCATTAATAAATTGTATTACTTACACCAGTGCTTCTCATAAAGACAAAATTCCTAAGTGAGTTTGGCATCGCTCTGCCCAACTTCAACATGAGCAGAGGTCCAATCAGTGTCAAATGAAAACACCCACACAGGGTGTGCAGAGCCTTCAGAAATGCACGTGGGCGAAGTCATAAGCAGCAACATAAAAGAACACAACTGACTGGTGCAAAATACACAAAAGATATTCAACTACAATAACAGGAGTAAATATAATTACTTGCTTCCACCCTTGAATGTGAGAGATTATGTAGATAGGGGAGATATATAAAAGAGGTTATCATATTATTCAATATCATTGATAGGGCACCTCAGATACTGTTATTATCTGATATTAAGTCATTAGCTGGTGTGTCAATAACCCATAGCAGTTAACAAGTTGCAGAGAAAACATTAAAATGAGAATTCATTACAGCTGATGAGAGAGTACAGGTGGTTCCTACTGTCATTAGAGGCAAAGCACACAGTAAGGAACAGGCAGTCCAGTACAAAATGAATAATTAAACACAAGTGGCTTATATCTGCAAACACATATTGTTTGCTTCAATCAAACTCCCATCCTACACCGCAGCCAAGGCCGTTCCCTCGTGTGTGACAACATAATGAGAAAACTGACATTTTACAGGCAACTGAGTCTGATAAAACTGTCCAGTGAGTACAGCTGTAACACACTCTTCTTCACAGAAATCATACATTTGAGCATGTCTACATTATACTTTAAGTTTTGTTTTTGTCTTAAGATACAAGGCAACGGATTTATCTTCAAGACAAGCAAAACTGGGAGTCATAAGTCAAGTCATAAATGGCGCGGAAAATACTAAGAAAGACTTCTCGACCCTAAACTATAACTGCAAATACATTCAGTGCATTGTGACTGATTACCTATCTATTATCAGAAACATTCAAAATGACAAACACACCAGAACAGCACATCAAAGGTCCAGCACAACCACACATCCCTTACCTTTTTAAACAACATCCATAGACGCGCACACACAGCTCCTGAGTAAGACTCCCCTCTCCAGCACTGTGAGCTGTAATATGAGTGTTGGGCCATGTCCGCAACCAGATCCAACAGGTGTCTTGTTATACTTTGTTGTTGTTGTTGTGTGGAGCACTGGATGGCAGTAAGAGAGAGATAACAATACTAAGTAACTCTGAGTTAGTTATTTATGTAAGCACTGGAATAAAACATCTTAATTCGGAGTCTGACTTTGAGGAAGGAATGTGCTCCTTGCCAGTGGTGGAATGTAACTAAATACATTTAATTAAGTACTGTATTTAAGTACAGTGTTGAGGTACTTGTACTTTACTTTGAGTATTTCTATTTGCTGATACTTCTCCTCCTCCTTTCAGAAGCAAATTTATACTTTATACTCTACTTTTACTAGGTTTTCTTACTATTTACTTACATTACTAACATTAACTTCTGCAAACGTTTTTATAAACCAATCAATTAAACAAGAAAATAACCTGCAGATTAATCAATAATGAAAATAATCATTAGTTGCAGTCCCATACATAATAATTCAGATTAGCTCCACACATCCAGCAACATTAAGATGGTGCTTACACATGAATTCCTGATTAATAATAACATAATATATAATACTATAACACTGAGTTATGAGTGCTTTAACTTTTAATATTTTAAATACATTTTCCTGATTGTGTTTATATACTTTTACTGTAAAACTTTGAATGCAGGACTTTTACTTGTAATGGAGTATTTTTACAGTGTGATATTGGTACTTGCATTTAAGCAAAAGGTGTGGATTATTTTCCCACCACTGCTTTTGTATATGAAATAAACGGACCTCCTGAATCCAGGTAAGCATCAAATCTCACCAGAAAACAAGAAAAGTCTCTGATAAAACAAACAGATGACTGAAAAACTAAGTTAATATGTGATGGTTGAATTTGAAAGGAGATGCTCTGTGGAAGAATAAAATTAATCTGTTAGTTAAGAAAACTGCTTAAATCTTATTTGAATGTCGACTATATTTAATATTAAGCTTTAGATTTTTTATCATTTTATTAACAATATGTAGACGGCAAACTATGAATATGTGGACAAAGTTCACATTTATATCAGCAGACAGCCCACCTTATTCAGCACCATCAGCCTCAGCGGGTCAGCTACTAGCTTGGAAGTTAGCTACATCGATGCTAAGGAAATAGCATTGTTTACAGTAACATGAGCATGGAACAAAAGTGAAGCTGGTGGCCATAGTGAAAGCAAAACCAGCTATGTTGACGTGATATAAAACACTGAGAGGCAGCTATGTGTGACTAGACGAGAAGGTAAGGGAGAAATTAATTATTTAACGGCTTTAGAGAATCGATATGCTGGTTCGCTAACGTCGGGTACTGACGCAGGTTAGCATGCTAACGTAAACTCATCCGAGTCGGTTTTTGCAGGAACGTGCTTTTCTTTTTAGAAGACACGCCCTGCTTTATCTCGTCTACAAGTCTCACCCATGTTTGAACAAAAATAAACAAAAAAAACTTAACAGTGACATGGCTATAGCGTCTTGTTGAGTTTGCTACCTGTTGGTGGTCAGTTTGTACTATAAACACCTGTTGTTTTGTCTCTGTGAAGCAGCCAGGTGAGACATGGATTTCCTCACTCTGTTCGCTATCTACGTCGTGGTGGTGCTGACATGTATAGTCCTGGTCTGCAAATACTCAGGGCAGCAGCAAACTCCCTTTAACATACTGTTCAACTCTGTGGTAAAGGTAAGAAAGAATAGCCTTGAAACTAACTGTTATTGTCATAAACGGACACTTAGTGGCGCTGTTGCACTATTATCTTGAAGTGCAATGAAACATACCTACTGCGTTTAGAACTGTTGCC